GATAGTCGTCAAGAAGTACTTAAATCCTCGGAGCCAGAGCTTCCATTTCTTGTGAGCTTGAGGATCGTTTGGAGGGACGTCGAACTTGTCTGGTCTGGCGATCCTCTCCATGTCTTGTCATGAATTTAGTTGAATAAATTGTGGTACCAAAAGTTGTAGTATGAATACAATGGTTTTATTCAACTAAATTCGACCGATATGAGTGTGCACCTGAGGACGAAACAGAAATAACAGATGTTAGCGAGAGCACCACATTCGTCAGTAATGGGTGGTTTATCACACAAGGCAAAGAAGTCTACTACGCTTCCTGTGGTGGCCTGACGGTGACGTAAGAAAGGATCTGCAGGAATATCAGGTCAACGTTCACCTGTTCGGCGCTGTCAGCTCGCCTTCATGTGCAAGTTTTGCGCTGAGAAGATCGGCACAGGATTTCGGTAATGACTTCCATACAGACGTCAGACACAGTATCGAGAGGTCATTCTACGTCGATGACTTTCTGAAGTCATGCTCAACGGCCGAAGAACTGAAGGATGTTACTCAAGGAGTGAGAGAATGTTGTGCTAGGGGAGGTTTCCGATTGACCGGATTCGTGAGTAACAGCCCTGAAACGCTGAGTGGGCTGCCCGAGGTGGATTGTGCCTTCCCTGACAAGGTAGACCTTACTGGAGATAGCCCTATGCCACAGAGGGCTCTTGGCGTACAATGGAATGTTCAAAACGACACGCTCAGTTTTCGTATCGATATCCGAAAGGGTCCAGCAACCAGAAGAGGAATTTTAGGGACCGTCAGCGCAGTGTATGACCCTCTAGGCTTCGGAGCTCCATTCATTCTGCCGGCGAAAATACTACTCCAGGACCTCTGCAGGATGAAGTTGGACTGGGATGAACAAATACCGGCCGTCCATTTGAGAAAATGGAACGAATGGTGTCGGCAGTTGGAACAGTTACACGCATTTTCCGTGCCCAGGAGTTTGACTCCGAACGTTCCAACACATGGACATCAACTTCATTTGTTCGCCGATGCCAGCGAGTCCGCCTATGGGGCAGTAGCTTATTATGTAACAACTGCAGATGACGGGTCCGTGCACACAGCATTTCTTATGAGTAAGTCGAGAGTAGCTCCACTGAAGACATGCTCAATTCCACGACTAGAACTTGCGGCCGCCACATTAGCGGTTCAACTCAGCACTCAGATCCGTCAAGAATTGGAACTGCCAATAGAGAAAGTGTTTTTCTGGACCGACAGCATGTCAAACATGAGATACATCAATAACGAGACATCTCGATTTCAAACATTTGTCGCACATCGTCTGACAATCATTCATGATGGCTCCAAACCGCACCAATGGCTGTATGTGCCGTCGGCGTTGAATACGGCCGATCTTCTGTCGCGTGGTAGCTCAGCACGGGAACTGAACGAGTCCGATTGGATTGGTGGGCCAGCGTTCCTCAAACGTCCGAAGTCGGAGTGGCCGGAACAGCCAGACCTCAGATCCAGCTCGGATGCTGAGCCACTGGAAGTGAAGAAACCCTATGTGAATGTCGTAGCTACAGACGAGGATCACACCATGCGCCTCCTACACAGTGCATCGGATTGGCACAAGCTGAAGACTCGAGTGGCCTGGATACTTCGTTTAAAGGATGTTCTCCGCAACCGTGACGCCAGAAAGAGAGGTCGTGCTGGTCTCGTGCGTACCTATCAGTGTGCGAGATTGACAGCAGAAGAGCTAACGAGAGCAGAAATGGCCATCGTCAAATACGTACAAGAGACATCCTTTCCAGATGAGCTGTCTTGCTCAACAGTGAAAAAGTCCAGCTCTCTGTACAGACTGAATCCAGCAAAAGTAGACGGCGTACTCAGAGTGGGAGGCCGCTTAGGAAATTCACGACTATCACCGTCATCAATCCACCAGATCATTCTGCCGAAGAAAGAAAGGCCATGTCACAGATCTTGTCATCCGAGATATGCACGAGCGCAGAGGTCATTCAGGCAGGGAACATGTTCTGGCAGCATTACGTTGCAAGTATTGGATAGTGGATGGCAACTCAGCGGTCCGCAGAGTTCTCTCCAAGTGCGTTCGCTGCAGGAGGCTGCAGGCCCCCCCGGTCACGCAGATCATGGCAGACCTGCCAGCAGAGAGAACGACAGCGCACATGGGTGCGTTCAGCCAAGTTGGAACGGACTTCTTTGGTCCATTTTATGTGAAAATGGGTAGAAAACAGCTCAAGAGATATGCTGTTTTATTCAGCTGTCTTTCCAGTAGAGCTGTACACATAGAGCTATGCGAGAGCCTCGACACCAGTTCATTCATCAACGCATTGCGGCGTTTCCAGGCTCGGAGAGGTCAGGCTACGCTTATACGGTCGGACAACGGTACCAACTTTGTGGCGGCCGAGAAAGAATTGCGCGAAGAGTTGAAGAGACTTCAAGAGAAGAAAGTCCACGAATTTCTCCTGAAGGAGGGTATCACGTGGATATTCAACCCACCTGGTGCATCATCACACGGTGGGGTGTGGGAGAGACAAATTCGCTCCATCAGAAAGATTCTGAATGGGCTCCTTCGGGAACAAACGCTGACGGAAGAATCGCTCCGCACGCTGTTGTGCGAGGTCGAGTCAATACTGAATTCGACTCCAATCACCACCGTCTCAGGTGATGCAACAGACTTGCAGCCGCTGACCCCAAATGACCTTCTCCTGCTGAGGGGCGGTCCTACGCCAGACAGCCTGTTCACCGCCAGGGACAGCCGGTCTGCTCGAAGATGGAGGCAAATGCAGTATTTGGCCGATATCTTCTGGAAACGATGGATTCGGGAGTATTTGCCGCTATTACAACTGAGACACAAGTGGAACAAGGTGGAACGAAATCTAGCAGTTAATGACGTAGTGCTTGTCATGGATACGAGCACACCACGCTCCAGGTGGCCTCTGGGCCGAATCAAAGAGACTTTCCCGGACCGGAAAGGCTTCGTCCGATCTGCAATGGTACAGACCGAGACGTCAGTTCTGAAGAGGCCGATATCGAAGCTCGTTCTCATCTTGGAGGCAGAATAGTGAGTACACAAAGATATAGCATCTCTGTAAGGTGCTACTCGTCAGAGCACCAAGCCGCACCGATCGCGATGGTGACCAGAAATAGTTGAGACAATTGATGGATCGGTGATGAGCCTTGTGTTGGTGCTTGTCATGCTGACGTTCTAACAGTTGAATAGTGCTTGTTTAGCGCGGTAGTATTTAGGACCTGTTATTGAACCAAATAGGGCTCAAATGTGGCAGGCGCTCATTTGCATGGCGCGTTAGAAAGTTGATGCCACAAAGGTGACGTAAGTGTATGCTGTACAGTGGTCAGCTTTAATGGCATGTGCAGTTGTGTAGTGAGTGTTGAGCCCTGATCGGGTCAAGGTGGGGAGTGTTGCCGCCTCATCACGTTATTCCGATACGGTATTGTACATATTTGTAAATAGTCTGTCATGTGGCGGCGCCGTTAGTTATATTCGCGTGCGATGCCCGCGAGATTTAATTTAAATTTCCAGGTCATCGAAAAAGGCTAAAATTGGTGGGTTTTCGATTGCTGTATTACGATGCGTTGTTTTGTGTATACTAATTGATTTAGCTCTGAGCCGTAAGATGCATAAAGCTTTAACGACATGACATGACATAGAGATGAACTAAGATTTGAATAAATCATTAGCTGAAGTTTCGCATTTCACCAAAGGCATCTCACCCAACGAATCGAAAATAATGTCCGTTACAGCGAACAGCGGCTCGGCGGCTACAGTATGTCTTATGAACTTACGGATGATTACTCAAATATAACAGGCTACGGCCATAAGGAGCATCAGCATTGCGCGCCGCGAAGGCGGTTCGGTACGTTCGGTATTCACTGTGATGATAGACTGTGCCGCACTACTCCCATGCGCTCCGGGCCAGCCTATGATGCGCCTCCCTTTCTGGCGTGGAACGATGGAAATTGATAGGAATGCTAGCATTAGTGACTCATGAATCTTATTTTAGGCTGACTTGTTGGTTTAGTTGCGGGTTGCTGATGTGCAATAAATTCTTTTTCCTCGTTGCATGCGCATACCCATTACCCATCCACCAAATTCTACCCGGTAGGCGGTAGCCTCCATCCGTATAGGTAATGTTTATTTAGTAAGTGGGTAGAGCCATATTTACTTGTAAATGCTCACAGCACGTCAATGAAAGGCTCTTTGGTTCAGATGATTGCGTCACGATGATCACCAGATGCGCTGAGAGGAGAATCATGTAGGCCCTTTCGGTAATTATAGTGCCCAATTCTCATGGTCCCAAATCGGCTTTTGTTATGTGATGACTGAAACACTGAGACGTATTCATTCAACTAGTATTACGGAAAATACCCGATAAGACACTCAATGATCATAATCAACATTGGCGAATGCAATGCAATTTGCATTGTAACCTCAATGTTTCCAGTTCCCAAAACTATGCGCTGTTGACATCTGGGGAGTCGCCGCTGGATTAGAATATTATCGATGTGCAGTGACCGTCAATAGTATGACCTCGTCCGGGCGTCCCCTGTAACTTACTATAACGCTGCGCAGGGCTCTGGCCCCGCCACTTGACTTGTGATTGTCGTAGGTTTCCAATTCAGAGCCACTCGCAAGCGCACTGCTTATTAGGCTCGATAAAGCTTAGGCCAGTGAATGGAGACGAGAGACATTGGGCCGGAGCCCAGGGATTTAATCGAAGCAATCATAAAAGCTTCCACAATGTTGCACAAATGTAAGGGTAATAAAGCCATCACACCAATTAATTTGCGCTCAGCTCGTCAGTAAGGGACAGTACGGGTCGACTGATTGAAGCCTGATCTTTTACGGTCAGGTCAGGCACAAACTTACATTGTATGTGAAATTTCAAAACTTAACAACGAGTGCTGCTTTTCCATATTTTATCGTACGTATACCGTTCCATTTTCCACGGCCACATTACCGACTCTCGGATACGGCTTGGGGCACCTACCGGTATACGAAGCCATGATGGTGACGGCCGCGCTCCACCAGAAGGCCAGCATCACACGGGAGGACAGGCTGGCCGGGATGCAGCGGTCCCCTGAGGGAGCGCCCGATATGGGTGTCGCTAATTTGGATACTTATTAGCCGTTTTCACGACGGCCATCTGGTACTCATTTGGTACACATCTGGCACAGATTAGGTGCAGATTTGGTCAAATCAGGTTCAGTGTGCCTCTTAGCAGCTATCAGCTTGGGCTGCACTAATTGCTTATATGCCTATTTTGTCATATTATCAGAGAGCATCATCGATTAAAACACTGAAATGAATTCATAAAATGAAGATATTAGCTGTAAAAGAAATTAGGTGCAGATTTGGTCAAATCAGGTGCACTCGCCGGATAGCCCGTCGTGAAAACGGCTATTACCGCACAGAACAGCTTAACTTATTTTGTGGAACATCGCCTAGCCTGGTAGTCGGAACTAAAAAAAAAAAAAACATTAGAAGTTTTTGCGGCTATTCGCTATTTCGCTCTAAAGTGACTGGCTAAAGGTATGCTTTACTTTTAAGTGAAACCGGCATCCAACGAACGTAATGAAAGATGTAACACGGTAATTATAATTTAATTCCCGTCTCCCGAGCGTTTAAGGTATTTGCAAGCACCCTGTAAGGTGATTGTATCGCAAGCACCACGGACAATTACCATGGCCGATGATTCCTCCAAATATAAACCACTGAATGTGCGAGTAGGTTGGCCTGGCCTCCGGTGGATCAGGATAGAGCGCTGGCGTCCAGGGTCCGGCGCGGCTGATCAGGTGCAGAACGGGTGTAACACCGACCACCGCGGCACAAAGTGCGAGCCACACCTGAGACACAGCGGCACACGCTGTCAGTAACACCCGAAACACACCCAAACACAGCGGCAGTCACACTGTCATTAACACCCGAAACACAGCCAAACACAGCGGCATACGCTGTCAGTAACTCCCGAAACAAACCCAAACACAGCGGCAGTCGGCACACACTGTCAGTAACACCCGAAACACACCCAAGCACAGCGGCACCCACTGTCAGTGACAACCGAAACACACCAAAACACAGCAGTAATCACACTGTCAGTAACACCCGAAACACACCAAGCACAGAGGCCATCACACTCAGTAACACCCGAAACAAACCCAAACACAGCAGTAATCACACTGTCAGTAACACACGAAACAGACCCAAACACAGCGGCACACACTGTTAGTAACTCCCGAAACACAGCCAAACACAGCGGCAGTCGGCACACACTGTCAGTAACTCCCGAAACAGACCCAAACACAGTGGCACACACTGTCAGTAACACCCGAAACTCAGCCAAACACAGCGGCAGTCACACTCAGTAACAACCGAAACACACCAAGCACAGAGGCCCAAAACACACTCAGTAACACCGGAAAAACACCCAGTGACAGCGGTAATCACACTCAGTAACACCCTAACCACACCCAAACACAGCGGCCGTCACACTCAGTAACACCTGAAACACACCCAAACACAGCAGCAATCACACTCTCAGCCGAACCCGAAACGAAGCGGCACACACAGCTAGTCACAATGCAAACCGTTCGGTCTGTGACTGACCTTCCAGGAGAAGGGCTGGATGAGCGCGAACGCCTTGCTGCGCGGCCGGGGCGCCGGCAGCAGGATCGCCGTGCTCTCCTCGTGAAAGGCGGCCGTGAAGTCGATGCCCTGCTCTCGGATGTGGCTGATGGTGAAGCCGGACACGGCCATGTCGACCTCCTGAGCGGTCGATGGGAATGGGACGGACGGGTTCACAGAAGAGCCGCCGACGCTCGGGGGGGGGTCATCAGACAATGGCAAATGTAAATGAGCTAGTCAGATTGCAGATAGCGCAAACCCATGAGGGCTGAGCACCGGCAGATAGAAAAGCTTGTGTCGAAAATAGAAATATAAATATTATTTGTGTAATGAAGTGTGATAAGACGCTAATGAAACACAGGAGTATCGAACGTTTTTAGTGAGCGAAGAGGTTGAACTGTTTTGTGGCCGAACCATTGAGACATTCCCCCGTCCCGGCTGTCGCCCTGACCCTCACCGTTCTGTTGACCATGCCGACCATGCCATTCCAGGTGTTGTTCGGCAGCAGACTCCCCCAGTTGCCGTCGTAAGAGAGAACCAGCCGTACCCTGCACGAAAAATTAGGTACGGCATTTGATACGTCATGGATAATTTAAAATGCATTTTCAACAAACATTAATCATAGTCGAACGACATACCCGGTACCTACAACACTTTTCAAATCGTTAAGTGCTTGCTGAGTGTAAGAAATTTGATTCAATTGGTCGTTCTGAATGACCTCTGTACTAAATTAGAAATTTTACTGTCATTTAGGTATATTTCTATTTTAAATAAATTTTTGGCCACGGGCCTTGATCACATCAATGTCAAAATATAGGGTATGAATTTAATATAATGCCTTATTACAAGGTAAAAAGGTATTGAAGGTTTAAGGTAGGTATAAGGTAGGAAGGTATTTCACAACGTGTGCAGTGAATTTGATATTATACACTGAAAACAATTCAACCCGCGGAATGCGAGTTGGCCCGAGTATCGCGGGTATTTTGAAGAAATTACCCGCTCTGCGCGAGTTTTTGCTGCCGGGTAGGCTGACTACCCGTTTAGCTTCCCGCGTTTCGCAGAGCATCCCGTTATCATCGTAGCTTTCACCCGCTTCACGGGTGTCAACGCCCGCTATACTCGGGTAAAACAGCAACCCGTCATGCGCGGATACATGAAACCTCCTCTGGCGGGGTCAATCACTCGTCCGCAGCGGGTTGTGGCCGCAGGCGTTACTCGCGCCCACGGAGTAAGCGCATCACGCAGGTTTTGCATCGTGTAACTCGCTGCGCCAAGGTAGGTGACATGCTATACGCAGGTTGCCTTGATCACGCATGTGTCATGGCTCTTCGACGCTCAAACGAGTGTTGAAATGTGACGCGCCACAATAGTCGCTGTTCGGCTCGGCTGCGTGCTTGTGCAGGCCTTGTGCAGGGGTAGAGATGTGCAAGGCAATTGTAATCGTAACTGTAACAGCTGTGGGGCTGCGTTCTGTGAGTTAGGAGGGTACTTAACGGGCTTGGGACATTTGAATCATTGTTTGGATGACGTCACGTCTTGGCCGGCAGAATATTTCGCTGGAACGCTCAGCAGAATATTCTGCAGTCCGCGAATCTGGCGCATTGTGATGAAGTTTGCAGACCGTTCTTAGCACATTTTATTGGTAAAAATAAGCCTGGATAAATAAATCTTTCCCGATGCAAATAAAATATTTGTCCAAACTATTCCTTAATATTTAAAACACTATAGGCGGATTCATGTCAATTGTCTAAGATAAGCCTTTTTACTTTCTGTATTGAGTCCGCCGTCAGTTCTTCATGTTAATCTGATATACACCGACATTTCAGTCGCTTCACGTCAGGTCGCCTGTGGTGCAGTTGGTAGCGCATCGGTTTGCAATACCAAAGATATCGGGTTCGAATCCCGGCGGGTTGGCGGCGTTTTCCTCCTTGAACGCCGCCACTGGAGGGTACTTTACCCTCCAGCTGATTTGGACACCCTACCAGCGGATATTTGTACTCGCAGAAAGCGAGTTCCCAACCCACGCAGCGCAGGTAATACGCCATGTGCGGATTGTGTACCCGCTGCGAACGGGTAGGTTGCCTTCTGTGTGTGGGTTGAGTCCCCATCCTATGCGGGTTAGGTACACAATATACTCGGGTTGACAGCCTGCGATATGCGGGTAAACGCACCCGCTGGTAGAGTGTCAAATTAGGTGGTGGGTAGGTGTACCCGCCAGCAGCGGGTTTTACTCGCTGTACGCGGGTTGAATTGTTTTCAGTGTATGCTTATATTTTGGTAATGATCAAGGAAATAATCAAGGTCCGTGGCCGAAAATTCATTTAAAACAAAAATACACATAAATGTAAGAAGATTAAATGTGTAAGTAGTCCATTCCAATCAGTCAATTAATTATCCCGTGCCCAATTTTGAAGGCTCGCATCAATATAGGTCGTCTCTGCGACTGGGTCAATGATCCCGGCATTGAGTTTTAATTTTCGTCAATAATGACAATAAACTTGGTACCTACGAGTACATGTGCTAGAAAAGTGTTCCTACTTATAATCATTTGAATCCAACATCGTTCGGCACAAAATGTTCTTGTATGTAGGTATGTACATAGGCAATTGGCGCCAACACGCTCGTGTCAAGGCGCGTCAAACGGTGATTCTTTTTGTTCGAATGGCAGCTTCTATGATGGCATATGTACAGCCCACCGCTAAAGTAATGTAGGGTTTTATCAATCTCAACGGTTGGCTTTGACTGGCGATTGTTTAATGCGGAGTGATCGAAAAGAAGATGTCAATAGCTAAAGTTGCAGCTGCAAGGGTGACGATACATATAAGCTACATTCAAAGTTTCATTGTAGTCTGGCTAATCGTTCCTAAGCTTCAGAAGCAGAACATACCCATGACTGAAACCACACATTACTTCTGCTGTGGACTGTACCTATACCTAAGATGATCATGGATGACCTTTAATGACCTAGACACCTGGTGGGTGCTCTAGGATGAATTCGAGGGTGCTGAGCAAGAATTTGGCGTCTGTTTTGCCTGAATCCCACAGTAGCTGAAATGAACGTTTGATTGATGAATGACTTATATAGCTCCATAATGGGCTTCTAAGTTCTAACTCGAGGGATAACTCTGTATGACCATGGCCTTAGATTTAGATTTTTAAATCTAAAAATCTAAATCTAAGGCCATGGAACAGTATAAGATTATTAGATTTTTGCGCTAGCCAACCATTGGGTTATTTAAGCACATCAACACATTTTGGGATTAGGTTAGGTACGTACCTACATAACATACCATACCTCCACAAAAACGTATAGGTAGTGTTTGAAGTCATGTTTGACAATGACCTGGGCCTGGAATAACAAGCACACCATCAGACCTCTCATAATGTTTTTTTTTTACCGTTTTCAATCAGTTTTGCCGGATTTTATGCTTCCTGATATGACTGAGTTCCTCTGGAATAGGTTTATGGTTTGATACCACTGTAAAAATGCTCGTTGACGGCTTTGATCTTTGCTTTTGTTTCCATGCCTTCTATATTTGGGTGCGATATTAGACCGGCCTGGAGGGACGTCGCTCATCACGACGTAGTTTTCGGGCTTACCCCAGGGATAAAGCGTACCAAACTGCACCTTTTGATGACTTCACAATAATCATTGAGGACAGATTCCCCAGAATTGAGCTCTTAGTATTGTTCGACGACCTCTTTTATTCTGTGTGTGATAGGACAACACATGTCAATGCTTGCTTTATGGCGGCTTCATCGCGCCGTGGATTATCATTTCATTGATTGAACTCATTGACACCCGACGTTTTTCTTCAAATACTCTGACCAACTCAGTGTTTGTGACTGATTCACTTTCAAATCGTTTCCATGCTCAGTCACTGGAAAGTCACAGGAAAAGTGCCACCTTCGTGAAATATGAAGATATCGTTGCTTTTCATTTTGACATTATTATTTTTCATGTTCTTTTTAAATCTGGTGCCAGAAGTGCATAATTCGCAAAAAAGTATGTCAAACTATTTAACATATTGGTACTATGTTTGTACTCTCTACCGCACCTTCTGTATGATGTCATAGCGATGACATCACATTCAAGCCAATCAGCCTTCAGAAGACAGTCTCGTCGGCTTGTGTCAGATTAGCTGATTGGTTAAAGCTGAGCTGATTGGAGCTGATTGGTTAAAAACCAAAGCCTCGCCGCGGGTGGCTGTATTACAGAATAAGAACGCATTCCTGGGATAAGGACGCATTCCTGGCATATTTTCTTTTAAAGTTGCCGATACCTACAAATGGAGGCCGAAATCGGCTGTAAGATGGGACACTCTCGGAGTTTTCGGACACGGGCTACAAGATGGCCATCTCAGTTTCAAACCCCATGTTAAAGGTGACCCTTTTCCTTTATTAAGCCGAGGGCCGGGTTTGGTGCAACCCACCGACGTCTTTCTCGCGTTGCATCACGTTAGCGATAGAGAGATGAAAGCTGACATACCATACTATTGGTTCAATTTTTAAGCAAGATATCTGGAAACCAAACGTATCTTTAAGTAATTGCAGGCCACTGAGAAGATATGATATGATGATATCTTCGATATGAGATCATATAAAAACTCATAAGCGAGCCTCTGCTCGGCACAAAAATGTCGTCGCGCTCTGAGAGATGGAAGCATTCACAGGGAGAAGGTACAGTGAGCTCCCGGGTCGCAATAACTTGTATATTTCGGATTTTCAGAAAGGTCACGCGAAGTCCGATCGGTCACGTGACCTTTGTATACAGCGTGACCTATAGGAAACATTATAAGCGAGGGGGGACAAGAAGAAAGTGCTATATTGGCACTGAAAATTACGGAAGACCGTATTTTGATCACATTAGCTCGTGATGACATGCCTTACTGGTAAGGTTCGATACTTAGGTTTTGCAATGCAAACCTTGCATTACGTCATACATGACGTCATTCAAGGTTAATCCAATGCCCTGGAACGTTCAGCAAAGCCTAGGCCAATGAATTCGGTCATTTTTTTTTTTAAACAACTCCCGATCGAATTAAGTTGCTTAGTCGGGAATGCAGCCACCAATAAAATCAGATTGACCTGTCAAATCGATAGAATGCTATTTAATTTCCCTCGATCAGCTTGATGACCTAAACGGTTTTGACCTGGATTTGACATAAGCTCAACACCCTATAGGTAGGTTTACTTTTCCCAGCAAAGAGCTTTGATTTGACGCGGTTGATGATGACAAACACGATGCTATGCAAACATCTCAGCTCTATAATCATGTTTGGCGATGCTTTTTGATGCTTTTGAACCAGAACCGCAAGCAAAACCGTACCTGTCCTCGGTTTTCGACTTCGGTTTCCATTTCCCAGAGCCGCTCAGTAATATACATATAAGGTCTGGCGAGGGTTAATTTATTCGAGCACGACGGTCGGCGGGTTCGCTTAGGAAGCATCCCGTCGTCGAGCAGAAACCACGAACAAAAGGAGAATAAATACAATCTCTCTACCCGCTCCGAGTCGATCAGACAATGCTTATTTGTTCCACGAAGCTTGTCTTTTGTATCGGCCAATGAATCAACAGCCCACCCGTATTTGCTGAAAGCGATGCGATGCACGATCATTGATCAGAGTGAAGGGAAGTAGATTGAAGACGTTGAAATATAATGTATTTGTCTGTTCTCGGTATATAAATTTATTATTTAACCATGAACATGGAGGAGCAAAAGCTATTGCTAATGATCACTTCCAAGAAACCAATCGTATGCTTACTGCATCTTGAGATAATAAGTTTGTTCGACCCCTTAGACGACCTCTGTCGCACATTATCACTTATTTTGAACATTTATATACCTATGAACATTGACCACAGTCCCGACTGATGTGACATTTCGACTTCTTGCGTTCCGCTAAAACGCAAAGGTAATGCCATAGACCTCTGTACACCATGACCTCTGTGTGTGGTGTACAGAGGTCTATGGTAATGCCATTTTCAACATACAGTTGTACGTTGTCGAGTTACAGCTGAAGTTGGGTACACTTGGTAGTATAGGTATAATGGTATAAATATCAGTTGTCATTTTATTTTCTGGTGGGCTTTTCAACACATCGACGAAAGTGATGCGTTTGAAACGACCGATTTGAAATAACAGTAATAACACAGGTCATAGGTGGATTAGTTGTGTTTATTGACGCGATAAAATCGACTAGTTATAGAAATGCATGTCTTGCCGGTGATTGCCGGCTTATGCTCACGTCAATGCTGTTTTAATTAGATACCTATTTTTGTTGTTTATCTTTTTTAAGCCGAGTCGAGCCTATGTGTGTACTACACACAGTACAGTACAATGTACATACACTGTACTTACGTGCTGCATTTCGGCTAGACCGATGTAAGGAAAATACTCTTTGGAAAGACAATATAAATAATTGTCAAAATGAAGCCAAAGAAGGTTTTGACCTATGAGCGCTTTTTAAAAATATTTTATACAAATATTACACCTTTTTAACGATTCGAACATCGAACAAAGTCACAAATTTGAACGTTTATGTACATATGGGTCCACTCACTGACGCAAACTTACTTGAAGTCATATTTCTGCATGAGCGTTTTCAGCATCTCAAAGCAGAATCCTTTATATCCGACGATATCTCCTTCCTTGTTGAGCTGTAAGATCGTCATTGGAGGCCGCTGAAACAAGAAAAACGGTCATTGCTTTGCTTTGTAGGTAACTACACAGTATACACAGTGCACAGTGCAGCTGCACACCAGCCATCCGTGACGTTCGTTTTCATCCGTGACGTTCGGTTTCAGAGGCAGCTATGTAGGATAGTATGCTTGGCAAAGTGACTGATCTCGGAAAAGCCTGCCAGCGCGCGTACCTAGAACATTGCGAGCTCTGATTCACTCGACAGTTTTTGTTAGGTTCACTCAAGAGTTAAATTGCTTTTCAGTTTTTATTCAATTATTTTGTGCATTGCTCTTGTCTTGGTTTCAGTCCTCAACTCTTGCCAGCCCGACTATAGGTACTCCTCTCGCCCATGCTGTAAAGCAACTGCGCATGTGTTTCGTACAAATGATCGCTTTTCTCCGCTTCTTTTAGTCCGTTCTAACGATCGCGAATCACTCTGTGCAATGGAATTGAGAATTCATACATTTGTATTTATAAGCCCTGAATGATTAACCTTCGCCCCAGTGGGGGGGGGGGGCATATGTTACCACCCTGTCGCGTTTTTTGCGTGTGAATAAAAAACCGCGGCGCGCAGCGCCGCGCCGCTGGGGATAGCTTTTGGTACATCAATTTTGGACAATGTGTGAAATTTTTGACCCCAGGTCATGTCAGTTCAGGTCACCAGGTCAAGTTAACTGACCAAGCCTAAAAAGTTTGCAATCATGTCCAGGGAGTCTGCTCTCGACCTCCGTCCCGGGCGGACGTGCCTCCGGTCCCCCGCTGCCGATTGCCAACCCCTAATATCCTACCGCTGTCATTGCTGCCGACGGTCAAATTGAACACGAAATGGTGGGTGGTCAACGGACAAAAAGAAGAGCGGCAAATGCGCCGAGAACGACACAGAATCAAAATGAAAACGTGTCGGAAAAGTCCAAAAAGCAGAAAATTCAAAAAGTTGTGGTTTCTTGTGCCAAGAAGGATCCAGAAAAACTGAGTACAGGTATTTTCAACGACACTGATGATACTGATCATCAGACAGTAAGTGACTCTGATTCTGATGTGAGTGAACATGATGACGATGCCCAATCTTGGTCTAAAGCTGGCAAAAAAGGAAAACGCACCCAAAAGGTAAGCTACACGTGCAAAGGTGGGCGTAAATCGTGTGGCAAATCTATAAAAGGAAATGAGTCTGCCATTCAGTGTGAATCATGCGAGGAATGGTTTCATCCGAGGTGTCAGGAACTGACGGAGAAGGCCTTCAACGCTATAGCCGAGCATGATATCTTCTGGATTTGTCATGAATGCAGAGTGTTCCTCCATGAAAAGACACAGTTTGCGAAGCAGATGAAAATGGAAATTAAAGAAGCAGAACTCACTATCAGCAAGAAGCTGGAGGAAGTCAAAGGTCTTGTAACAAGTGCCATTGACAAAAAAGTAGATGATGGTGTCAAGAAAATGGAACAAAGAATTGGTGAAAGCTCGGATGTACTGAAAAAAGCTGTGCAAGAGCGAGGTATCGACAGATCAATGAATATAATCGTACACAACTTTCCTGAAAGCACCAAACCTGAGACATCTGAGAAGCAGGAAGAGGACATCATCAAAGTCAACGAGATGTTCAAAACCATCTGTGGCAAATCAGACGAGGTGAAAGCAGTGGAGGGTTTCCGCCTACGGAGGAGAGCTGTTGACCCCAACGAAGTGAACAGAAAGCCTGGACTGCTGCTGATCAAAATGAACAATCAACAAGATGCTGAGATGATACTGAAGAAAAGGTTCCTGCTGAGAGAAAAGGGATTCCCTAACATCTTTCTGACAAAGGATCTCTCAAAAGAAGAACGAGAAAAACAATGGAAACTAAGGGAAGAACTCCGGAAGAAAGGTAAGGACACCCACATGATATTTCAAGGGCGTGTCGTACCCAGAGAAGAGAAGTAGTCTGGAACAGAACAGTTCAAAAAATGTAAGAACCAACAAGACTACACAAGTTGTGGATATTTCTGCCCTGAAATGTGTGTATACCAACATTGATGGGATGAATGCAGTCAAGTGTGCTGAATTGATTGCTGTAATAACCAGAGAAGGCCCACACATAGTATTTATCACTGAAACCAAACTGTCGGATGAGGTGTCACAATTCCAGGGCTGTGATGACTACCGTGTGTTCAGACGAGATAGAGGATTTGGAAAAGGAGGAGGTGTGCTGTTAATGGTCCGTAAAGATCTTACTGCATGGGAGGCGCCTGGCTTAAGGTGGGAAAATGTTGAAACAATCTCATGTGTACTCAAAACTGGGAACAAGACAGCCTTACTGGCATGTGTTTACCGACCCCCAAACGCCTCTCATGATAACAATGACAAGCTGTGTCAGTTCATCACCCAAGTATGTGATTTCAAATCAGACCAGCTCCTGGTATGTGGTGATTTTAATTACAGAGGGATAAATTGGGAAGCAGATTCTGTTGACGGATCTCAGGATAGTGATCAGGCGAGATTCTATGATGCTTGCCAGGATGGTTTCCTGTACCAACATGTGAGGGACTTCACACGGTCAAGGGGCTTGGATGAACCCTCACTCCTAGACTTGATACTAACTAAGCATCCACTTGAAATAGAAGACATTCAGTATCAGGCCCCCATTGGCAAAAGCGATCACTGTGTATTGACATTTAAAATGCTCATCGAGAACGATAGAAGTATGGTTCGACCAAGGAGGAGGAGAGTATTCTTCAGAGGTGACTATGATACTGCCAGACAATTGTTTAGTTCACATCCCTGGAGCCAACAGTTCTCTGGCAAGAACGTTGACGACTCCTGGGCTGTTTTTCTGAGCCATTACAATGAAGTTGTGAGTAAAACAGTCCCTATGCGTCAAGAGGAGAGGTGGAAAAACAAGAAGAAGTGGATGACAAGGGAAGTACTGCATCTAATCGAGAAGAAAGAAACAGCATGGAAAAAGTATAGGAAGAAAAGGACTCAGAAGGCAATGCATTCATACAAACGAGCAAGAAACCTGGTGACAACAGCGGTGCGAAGGGCCAAGTACGAGTTTGAGCACAAACTAGCCAAAGAGGTGCGGGAGAACCCAAGAGCCTTCTACGCCTATGCCAGAAGTCAGACATGTATCAAAGAGGACATCACATATGTCAAGAAGACAAATGGAGAAATGACCAGGACCTTGACCGAGACGTGCGAGGTAATGAACAGAGAATTTGAGAAGATGTTCACCAGGGTGACAGATTGCAGAACTCCCAATGTGACAGGCCCTACTCGTCCCAGTTTGGAGCACATCGAACTGACAGTTGGTGAAGTTGAGGGTGCTTTGGCAGCTCTCAAGACGTCATCTTCTCCTGGTCCGGACGGCGTTCACCCGATGGTCCTTAAGGAATGTGCCAGAGTTCTTTGTGAACCCCTACATCTGCTGTTCATGAAGTCGCTCAGTTCTGGGGTGGTCCCGGAAGACTGGAGGAGGGCAAACATTACCCCGATATTCAAAAAAGGAAGCAAGACAGATCCCACAAACTATCGTCCCATCAGTTTAACTTCAGTGGTTTGCAAACTACTGGAGAGACTGATACAGAAAAGGATAATCGAGCACCTGGAACTGAACAACTTTATCTCTAGTCACCAACACGGATTCAGACGTGGAATGTCCTGTCTTACCCAGCTTCTGGAATATTTTGCAGATGTAGAGGATATCTTGGACGAAGGGCACTGTGCTGACGTCATCTACCTAGACTGTAAGAAGGCGTTCGATACGGTCCCGCATGCTCACTTGTTGGTGAAGGTGGAAGGTGCAGGAATAGTGGGAGGAGTAAAGAGGTGGATAGCCAATTTCCTAGAGAATCGTGAGCAGAGAGTTGTGATACACGACTCCTACTCGACCTGGAGAAGAGTTTGGAGCGGCGTTCCGCAAGGAAGTGTCCTCGGGCCCACGCTATTCCTAATTTATATTAACGACATTCTTGATGGTCTTAACTCTAAAGGGAAACTATTCGCAGATGATGCCAAGATCTACAGCAGAATCAGGAACCAGGATGATAGCAAACTCGTGCAGGAGGATCTGAACACAATCAACGACTGGAGCAACAAATGGCTACTGAAATTCAATGAGAACAAATGTAAAGTGATGCATGTCGGCAACAAGAATCCGTCCAGCCCATATACACTAGGGGACAGTGCCCTCCAGATAACCTGCAGGGAGAAGGATCTGGGTGTCCTGGTGCGGAACGACATGAAGGTGGCAGACCAGGTGGCAGCAGCAGCCACTGCAGCGAACTCGATGCTTGGACGAATTCGCAGGGCATTCACCTGTCTCGATAAGGATACCCTTCCAGCACTGTACAAGGCCCTGGTCCGACCCAAGCTGGAATTTGCTGTGCAAGCCTGGTCCCCCCAACTAAGGAAGGACATCAACAAGCTCGAAAGAGTACAGAGGAGAGCCACAAAGATGATACCTGACTTGTCTCACCTACCATACGAGGAAAGACTAAGAAAACTGGATCTGACGACATTGGAGGAGAGGAGAGCAAGAGGCGATATGATACAAGTGTTCAAAATCCTCAAAGGCTTCGACAAAGTAGATGAGCATCTTCTCGTACTCGACCCTGGAGTCAACGATCCAAGAACGCGAGGACACAAACTCAAGCTGAAGAAATTGCGTCATCGTACCAAGAAAAGGCTGATGTTCTTCTCTGCGCGAGTCACGAGCACTTGGAACTCCCTACCGAACAGCGTGATACAAAGCAAGACGATATCAACATTCAAGACACGCTATGACCAACACATGACTGAGAGGAGGCAGCATCCTAACGAGCCATCCTAGCTCTCTTGCCTCTTCCTATACTTCTAGGTGAGCACTTCTAGGTGAGCCTGCAGTGTTTGTCAGAAAGGTTTTAAACTTGGTGGATTGCATGCTGTTATGAGCGCCTACAATGTGTATGTCTCGGATTTTTTATATCCGTGACCTAAGGTCAGGTCAGTGGCGTGACCTTTCCATTACAAGTCAATGGAGAAAAATGAAAATGCCTCTAGATCCGTGTGTACGCATAGGAACAGTCCAAATACTTTAGAATCACAATGATTTAGTCCACTCGTGATGACCAAGGTGTCATTTTTGCTGATAGCCTCTAGAAAGGTCATCCGAGGTCATTTGAGGCTAGTTTTTTTGCCAATAACCCGCGATTGGAAAGAGATAGAACACTGGGGATGGTCTCATTGTGCTTGTCTTGTTGAGACGCATCGACTGATATGCAACATGACCTTTTCCGGTCAGGTCATGACCTTGACCTGAGGTCAAATTTTCAAGTTGACCTTTCAAGGTCAAATTATAGTTCATTCGACGCGTCTCGGCGAGGGGAACACGATTCTGGCAATAGAAAGGTCGTGGCTTTTTGTAGTCGAAAGTTATTGTCGAAAAATACTTTTCGTAAAAACAGCTATTTTTGGAGTTTTTGACCTCTGGAGGCTAAACCGTTGACCTGAGGTCAATACCTATTGATAATAACCTTTTCAAAAGAAGAGTTCAAAAGCTATCGATTGTTTTTCCATGCGTTTTTCTAGCTACCATAGGTCCTGAGATAGCGGCATGTTTTCTGAAAAATATAATGACAATTGGCAAATTTTGACCTTTGATGACCTCTGGTGACCCCAATATTGCTCTAAGGTGAAAAATGACAAAAAATACTTTCAAACGTACGCATTGAGAGCTATCGACTGCTTTTTACCGCGTCTTTCTGGCCCTCTTAGTTTTTGAGTTAGAGGTGGGTGGTAACATATGCCCCCCCCCCCCCCCACTAGGGCGAAGTTGGCTGAGACCGCCACTGGGGCGCGGGCAAAAGAATGTTCGTCAGCACCGCCATGACATTGTTTCATGCTCAGCGATCAGTCATCGCTTTAGGAAACGAACAATCGTTGGCTAATTTGTTTCAATTTTGACAGTGTTTATTGCTGATTGAAGTCGTTCGCCAAGCCATCATTTTCAATAAATGTCTAGAAGACGTTTCAACACCCCGATGCCTCATTCCTCATTTGTAACCGGTCGCGCCTACCATGTCACCTGTATAGGTATAACGTAACCGCTTCGGAGTCCGGCTCAGTCCCCAATGACCGGTTAACGTCTCTCCTGTATTGTACAGTGGGGTACGTTATCGTATCGTTAGTCGTATCGTACATACAGTAAGAGTCTGTTTCTCACCGATGACAGGGTACCTAACAGCTCACCTGTGTCGTATGTCACCGTGAGAGTCCGTTTCTCACCAATAAAGTAACATCTCACCTGTACCGTAGCCACGGTAATAGTCCGTTTCTCGCCAATAACATCTCACCTGTATTGACGCCACGATGAGTGTCCGTTTCTTACCAACATCATCTCACCTGTATCGTAGCCACGGTGAGAGTGCGGTTCCGCAATAACCGTCGAGCCTTCTCCAGCGCTGCCTCGTTAAAATTCGCATTGCTGCCGAATTGATTTCTTCCTCTGACATCGAATATGAATCCGTCTACGAGGAGAGTAGGCGTTATAAGTTATAAGTGCAGTGCGAATAACCCGGTCCCGTTGATCTTAAACATATAAGAAGATTCTGGGATTCTGCGCGCTCTGGAATGCCTGAGTAAATACTCATGTTTTTCACGCCTATACATTATTTAGTCACTTAACCCTCGCATGTGTGCGGCGTTTGCCAGCTTCTAATGTGTAGGGGGGGGGGGGGGTCGTTTGGCCCCTGATCGAGCTAGAGCTTCGCGGAAAAAACGAGCGTGTTGCCCGTGACGAGAGGAAGCCGATGATACCCAATTTTAAGGTCCTAGGTCATTGGTTGACCTTCCAGGTCAGGTCAATGGCCCAAAGTCGGGAAAATCGGGACCTATTAGAAAGTCGTAAAGTGTGGCGGCTGAGGGGTTTTTCGGGGTGCTGATCACGAATATCGTGTTAGTTTTGATCACAGATGATGTCTTTAAGCATTTAGACCAGGTCGGGTCAGGTCAGGTCAGGTCAACCAGTAGGGGTTGTGACGGGTATTCGTAGTATGTGTCAACCGCCTCTGACAGCTTCGTAACATGTTACGAAGGCACCAAAACTACTTCGTAAATGTTCAAATGGTTGCTAAATTCGAATTCAGCTCCAAAAACTAGCCTAGAAACATGTAAAACTCGAAAAAGTGAACCGAGGTCACCCGAGGTCACCAAAAGTCAATGACCTGACCTGACCTTCAGGTGACCTTGACACCCATTCTAATGCATGGGAGCAACATCAAATCACATATTTGAACGTTTGAAACCACGAAAAGCTTGCAAACGCGCGGCTAATGCGAGCCGACATACGCGGAATCGCGATTCCGGCCAAACATGGTCTCGGAAAAGAGGTCACAGGTCAAAGGTCATTTGGGTCAGGGTCATGAAATTTTCAGGGTAGGTGTAAAATTGATCAATGAGAGGGTACTGAAAGTTTCGTCGCGATCGGCCGCTTTTTACGCGAGTTATTCGCGAAAAACCATGGGGGGGGGTCCATCCGACCCCCCCCTACACATGCGAGGGCTAAATCACCAAATAACTTGCCGCGAAATGAATCGAACTACATTTTTACTCACTAACTACATTTTCATTCGCGGCACATCTGAAAGATTATAAGCAGTTTTCAGTTTTCACTACGGCCATGTGGTACACACTTGTCACTTGATGCAGATTAAGTGCAGATTTGGTGCAGATTTGGTCAAATTATATGCATTCAGCAGATAGCCCGTCGCGAAAACAGCTATTATCGTAGGTACCGATTGCGTTGTGATTTCTTACCTGAGGAGGCATGTGCATCACCGGATCCCAGCATCAGACGGATGACGAGCATAATGAAGATATCCATACTATAAAGCCGCCTGTAGGCTGTAAATGGTCATGGCAGTGTCGGGCAGGCTAGGCAGGGTCATGTGGGTTACATTCAGTTAGTGTAGGTATACACAACTAAAGGCTTCACAGTACCAAGGTCACCAGGGTGGATCGATCTAATGAACATTTTGTGCAACAACCTCTGATGTAGGCATGTAAATACGATATCAACTTTAGATGACCAATATTGAATAAGCAGTAGGTAATAGGTGTAAAAATAGATACTTATAAAAAATGGATATTTATATACACTGTGAAAAATAGAATAGTTAGGTATATTACACGGTTAGGTACACGGTTTGACCTCGATAACGGTCGTGACCAGATATGGCCGACCTAGTGAAAAGCTTTATACGACGTGAGATGAGTTTCCTTATCCATTAGCTTGATTCAGGCTGGTTGCAAATGTCGACAACTTCACAGCCACGCAGGCGCGTAACCACCACTGGGGACACTGGGGACCGGTCCCCAGTAACTTTTGGGTTACTGGGGACCGTCCCCAGTAAAACTGACGACCTCAATTTGCTTAAATAGTGAAATATTGTCTCTAAATCGACGTGTAAGTAATAAGTAATAAAGTAAAGAGTAAGTGATATGTAGCCAACGTAAGACATAACCATGGATGTTTTGTTTAACCAGCGCCTGGCCTCTCAACCAACTTCGCCATGGGGGGGGGGGGGCTTTTTGGCCACACCAGGTTATCTCGGAAAGTAAGCAAGCTAGAAAGACGAGGTAAAAAGCAACAGATAGCTCGCTACAGTATCTTTCCGAATTACCTTCATCATTTTTTGATCAGGTCATCGCTGAGGTCACTACAGGTCACCAAATGTAAGCTTTTCACGAAATTTTGTTCCTAATTTTGTAAACTTTTCACAAGTCGTCGCATAAGTCAGGAGGGGCATTCCACGTCAAATCGAACAAAAATCGTCTGTTTTGCACCTTACCATCAGCGATTTCATTATAAATTTGTGAGCGAGTTCCTGTGTGGCCCCGGACATTACATGGATATTTTTTGCACATTCTGACCACAGGTCTTCTAAATATAGAGCATCAAATTTTTACAAAATGTTGCATCTTTATATTTTTGAAGCACCATAACTTTGGATGTACTTGTTTGATTTGAATGAAATAAGCCTTACTGTTTAGGTAATTTCTTAAGCATTTGTTTAGAATTGCACCTACTTAAATATATGACCTTGAAATTTGCTTAACTCTGTTCTTAAGCACAAATATTGAAATAGCAAAAAACACGTCACCTTCGATTTGGCTCATTTTCATATATTTTATTGCCTACCATATTCTTAACAACCTGTGAAAAAATTAGAGTGGGCCATTCATAAGTTTTGAAGAAATTTGCACATATGCAAACGTATGTTAGCACGCGCAGTGGAGGGGAAGAACGAATTTCGCCCACCCCTCCTGTTTTTCGCCAATATCTTATAAGATTAATGCGAAATTAATTACGGCTTCCTGTCAAGAATGGAATTGGACATCTCATCGTGCAAGCAATAAGAAAATCGGTAGACAACTGTTCTAGTAATAGCGGTGTAAAGTGAACATCCTGTCGCCGCAGCAACGCGGCGACTCGGTAGCCGGCGCCGACCGCTACGCGCCGCCTGAATTGTAGACTGTGCCGGGACGGAACGGAACGGTTCCGTCTTTACATCGCGCTCCCTACCGCTGATTACGTTCGATTCGCGTCAAATTTTGTGAGAAGACTAAGAAATGTACAAGCAATCTTATGGTGAAAGAATTTTGAAAATCGGTTGGTAAACAATTGAAATATGAACATGTAAACACAAAATTGTGATTGCTGCGTTTCCCGCATCGGCCGAGCCCGCCTCAGCCGGCGACATGTTACTCTTAGCAGGCCTCTAACTGCCATATTTATTATTGGATTAACTAGAAATTCACCATACATACTAAAAAATGTATGTTCTTTCGTATAGTGAAGATCAAAAGACGTGAAGATATCGTTGCTTGATAATGTTTTCGTTGAATTTACTTCATGATGCATTTCCACACGGCTCAAAATTCACCGCAAAATGCCGTTTGCCTGAGACACTTTTACTATGGAACGTGAATGCTTAACTACGATGACTATGCATTTCCATTCTCGCAGAGTTTGGGATATCACTAATCAGCAATCATTCATTTCAGAAAGTGTACACAAGCAAGCATGTCTTGACTCTGTCTTTCAAGGTCACGCGCGGTTGCGTGATGTTGATGCATGAAAACGGCGTTTGCCGCGAATGTTATGAATGGCCCACTCCAATTTTTTCACAGATGGTTAGGAACATTGTGACGGACATAATATGTAAAAATTACCCAAATCGAAGGTGACGTGTTTTTTGCTATTTAAATTTTTCTGTTTTAATTCAAGATCAAATGCATTTCAAGGTCACTTCAATTTAATTCTATAATTAAAAATCAAAGCCTTATCAATTGCCAATAAGACCCTGTTAATATCATTTTGATACCAGAAAAGGAACCAGAGTTATAGCCATTTAAAAAATTGATGTGTGACGTTTTTCGCTATATTCGATGACCTATATCTCAGCGATACGTTATCAAATTTCGAAAATATTATACGTAACTCAGTTTTGAACCATGCCCAGTCTGCCTATAAATTTTCATAAAAATCGAAGGGGATGACGGATTTCGGTGTTTGATTTGACGTGGAATGCCCCAGGAACCAGTAGAGCTGCAATGCTGCGGGAAAAAAGCGCATTCGATAGCGCTTTTAAAGGACTTTCTGAGTAATGCTCTCAGATTTGACCTACGGTCAACGTTTTAGCTTCCAGGCTGGCGTTTTTGCGGAAAAGGGTTTTGCATCATAAATTTCATAATAGCTTTGGACTTCAAACTTGTACGACGCTGATTTTACCGGCATCGCATTTGTCTCGTCGAGACGCGTCGAATGAACTGTGTCAACTTCAAAATTTGGCCCCTAGGTCATATTGCATGTCATTTGATCGGTATTGTTGAGCTGAACACATTCATGTTTTCAGCGCTCTAGCATGGTTCTACCTAAAGTTGTGGTAAAAAACTGTTGGAGATGTTTCATGACCTAAGATGAGCTGAGGGGCATAGAGCGGTCACAGGTGCAATTTTCCGGTTCAGTGTGTCATGTTTACCTGTGTCACGGTGTTTGAATGTGTTTTCTTTCGGCCAAAGAAAAGCATTTCAATTTTCCAATGTTTTGCATTCCTTCCAATGACCTATAATGAAGAGTCGTAAAATTGACCTGACTTTAGGTCACCGATGTGAAAACTTTGAGATAGGTATACGAATTTGTCATACTGATGTCCTCAAGTAAAAGCTCGAGTTTCAAACTTCTGGGATGTAAACTATAGGAATGACAAAGTCACAAAGTTTTTAGAGGCATGGTTACATAACTTGCCCTGGTGACCTGACCTTAGGTGACCTGGGGTCAATTTTTTTCACACACGATGCGAAATTGAGGTATCATAAGCTATACCAAGTTTCACGGCGGTGCGCGCCGCGGTTTTCCTTACACGCGCAAAAAAAAAACTGGGAGGTGTGGCCAAAAACGCCCCCCCCCCCCCCCCCACCCTCCCCCCCACACACACACTCCGGCGAAGGCTGATCCTGAAATATCATATTTTGTCTTCACGGCCCTCCATGTGGTCCCCAGTAACTTCAGACTCGTGGTTACGCGCCTGCAGCCACGGACACAGTTCTCTCTTCCGTGCCCGGTGCCCCAACCGAGTAGTAAAGTAATCTTGCCCCAACCTCCCATCACTAATGTCTAGGACCCTGATAAGTTGACATCTTCATAGGGTGGGCACTTCAAGCTGCAATTATCATGCATCGCGAAGTTTGCAAGGGACATGCATTTAATGGAAATACTTCATTTTGATTCTCCATGGTCAGCAATTTAGGCCCAAACCGAAATAATTTTGCATAGGCAAACCATAGTGCACCCGGGTGTGATTTACACAATACACTACTCCTGTGTATATCACACCACGCGGAGTGTGATTTACACAGTGGGCCGGCAATGCGTAAATCACACCGGGGTGTGATATACACAATGTGCTCCTAGTGTGTAAATCACACCCGGGTGTCAGACCACGCAGCACCTGGGTGTGATTTACACAGTAGGCCCGGCAAATGCGTAAATCACACCATGGTGTGATATACACAATGTGCTCCTAGTGTGTAAATCACACCTGGGTGTCAAACCACGCAGCACCTGGGTGTGATTTACACAGTAGGCCTAGCCAATGTGTAAATCTCACCAGGGTGTGATATACACTGTGTGCTCGGTAGTGGGTAAATCACACCTGGGTGTCAAACCACGCAGCACCTGCCGGTGAGATTTACACAGTAGGCACGGTAACAAGACACTTAACCAAACCTTAGACCTGACCTGACCTAACCTAACCTAACCTAACCTAACCTAACCTAACCTAACCTAACCTAACCTGACCTACTGATTTTTGCCTACCCGTGGATGAGGAAGAAGGTACTCGCATGAAGAGATTGCAAGCAATGGTAAGTCAAATATTTTTAGGTTAAGTGGTTGTGCATCAGGCTTCAGGCCTTCGGCCTGAAGCCAGATACACAACCACTTAACCTAAAAATATTTGACTTACCATTGCCTGTAATCTCTCCTAAGGCATTGCCTTCGGCACTGCACCGCTTCGCCACGAGCATTCAGACGTCGCTTTCCATATTGTATTGGTGCTTTTAAACTTGTCGGTCGGCAGCAAACCCACCGCTACCAAGGAAAAGCGAAAATGCGGGAAAAAGCGCCCGCACCGACGGGACTCGAACCCGCAACATTCGTATCATGGTGCAAGCACCTTCACCACTAGGCCAGGCGGTCAGCTGATTTCGAGAGAGAGGACGCCCGGAATCCCGCCGGAATATTCGTAGTGCTTAGTCTGATCTGACCAATGGGCGAGCAGAGTCACTGCTCTGACCAATGGACGTTCAGCGTTGCTATGACGTCACATCGTGGTGAGATATACACACAGCTGCCCTCTCTGTGTATTCCTCACCCGGGTGTGATTTACACTACGTAGTAGATTTTGTGTATATCACACCGGGATGGGTGTGATTTACACAAATGGCCGGTATTGTGTAAATCTCACCGTGGTGTGATATACACGGTCCCTTAGCCCCCCCTGGCCCCCCCCCCCCGTTGGCGATATTGCAAGATTATTGCTTGCAAGGCCCTAAATATTGCTTGCAAGCAATTGCAGGGCAGAGGCACCAGGCACCAAGCAAGGTACTCTGAAGACTATATATGGCCTTGCTCTGAAGTTGCTCTGAAGAACCATCGACGAAGAAGTGTGTTTTATTACTGGATACCTACGTATTTAATAAATCAATTAATTCAAATTGATAAGTTTTTTTGTACCTTCCTATGTCCTAGGATTCGATTAGAGAGAATTTTATTCCAATTTTGTTTTGATCTTGATTTTCCATAGCAATACACAGAGGCAGATCCAGCTCAGAGTTTTTTTTTTGGGGGGGGGGGGCAAACCATAACAATTTATCGAGTTTTTCCATGCATCATCCATAGGCGTAATGTTAAAATTATGCCGTTTGGGGGGGGGGCAAATGCCCATTTTGCCCCCCCCTGGATCTGCCACTGGCTATACATGCTGTGGCTGCCCTGTTGGGTTCGATTATATCATATCAAATCAATGTCGTTGGGTAACTATTCAACAGTTGTTGATTCAGAAGTTTATGTTGGACCCAGCTAAGGCTCCCAGCATTTCAACCTCTTGTTTCCCTTGATAATTTCCTTTGTTGCTGTAAGCTAGGAAAAATAATTTTTAGCTCGTGTTCTAAGAATTATGCTCAAAGTGCTGTGTGTTGTGTGATAAGTGTAATTTGTACGCAGCAGATATACAAGCTTCATTCAAAAATAAATAATGTTTAAATGTGAGATGCTACAAGGTCACCAGCCAGAGTCTATTCATACTGGACTTGTTAGGTATCTATCTACATACTTAAAGGGACCCTCCCACCTTAACATAAGATTTGAGTTGAGATAGCTAAAATGGGGTCCCTGGCTCACAATTACCGGTTTCGGCACTCACAACATCAAGAAATGCCTTAAATCGGAAATATTGAATTTCAAAATTGCAGCATTTTGATTCAGAGGGGCTAATGCATAGGAATACCCCTCTGAATGTGTGACGTCAGCGCAGGTATCTAACGATTTTTAAATGTTTGACTAAAACGTTTTGTAGCACGCGGTGGTATATGCTGCTTTGCGCGCAAACAAATGCCGCACTTTCAAATAAAGTCGCTAGGAACAGCGGAGATCCCAAAAAGTAAACAGAAGTAAAAGTCTAATATCTTGAAAACCGGTGAATATTTTTCGATGAAATTTGGTAGATATTCGTTTTTGCTCTTTCTGAACCGAGCGACATCACTTTCATGCCAATTCATTAACTTTTTTGAAGGTGGGAGCAGGGGCGTCGTTTTGTATAGGCCTGGTAGGGCCCGAGCCTTACCAATGTTTATTTGGGCCCTACCAATGTTCGCTGAGCCCTACCAATCTTTTGTCACTTATCAGTTGATAAAAAATCAAAATAAACAGATAAGCAAATATTAAATAAACACATATGCAAGTACATAAATAAGGTTCTAGCCACAGTAGGTGCATGTAGCTGACAATGAGGTTTCACGTGTCTAGGACTCCGGTCCTTAATGGATTTTAAGAGGCTCGAAAACGCAATTGGTTATAGAGGTCCATAACTGCCTCTGAGTCCCGCATACCACGCGACCGCCCCTAATACACCCCGATCCGTCTCCACACCAGCCGCTGGAGGCCCTACACCGACTTCGGAAGGTGCCGCGGTGCTCCAGAATAGGCCATAGGTATATTGATTTGAGTGGGTGATGCAGCCTGATTCCCCAGGGTTCAACGCCAGGTCATTACCGCATCAGACCCCGAAAACTGAAGCTCGTAACTTCGAGGGGCGTTCAAAAAGTTTCGGGCCGAACAATGAAGGAGTTGGAATTTTGGCCTGCAAGGCGGTGTGTTAAATGATGTGTTATTGGGATGTCCATTTACGCAAATTAAGTAAGTGGCCATTAATTAAGTCTCTTCTGTGATTGATTCGGGCTTCTATTCGTAGCATAGTTCGCCATTTCGGATAGGATGGGCGACGCCCAGAAGAGAGCAGTGATTCGTTTCATAGTAGTTAGTGCAGAAAAGGCACCAAGCGTTAACCCTCGCCCTGGGCATTTTTCATAACACGGCCTGGCAGGGGGGAGGGGTCGATGCGACCCCCCTCCGCTCGTCAACTTTCCAAAACAGGGGCACACAATTGATGATGTGCGTCCATTCGATAAACATCGAGGAGAGGCTATAGGGAAGCTGACGTAAAGTGTGCACCTGATCCGCGACCACGCACCTGCGTACATGGGCGGGATGACGAACAGTGAAGCGATGAGCTTCGAGTAGTTGTCGCATCCACTTTTTTCTCTCCGAACCTTGCACACTCTGGTTAGTGGTTGCCACCTCTTCCCCAACATAAGAAAATTAGCAGCGGCAACCTCGCTAACAGCAGGGAGACGAAATCAGCCGTCTTGGACGTGCAGGATGGGTCCAAAACCCACTTGGTAATGGAGGCCTTGAGGGCTCTCGCGAAGCGCTGCGCGAAACGTGTTTGTCTTAACGGTGTTTATTTGAATAAATGAACTTTTTGGTCTAATGAGTCGATGCTGTATCTCTCTGCTCCTTCATGGTCGGGCCCGTAGCTTTCTGAACGCCCCTCGTACTGTCATCCTTTTATTTTGGCAAGCAGGTCTTTCTAACTATCGTTGTGTTTCCAGTCCTCGTTAGTTGTCGAACCCTTCAATTGGCGTGGGTCTTTAAAACCGTTCCTGGCCCCGCAGCCGTCTTTTTTAGTCGGCTTGGGCCCTCAAAGCTGTTCCTGTCCCCTTTCAGCACAGCCGTCCTTTTAAGTCGATGTGGGCCTCTTTCAGAATGGCGTGCATTCCTCCGACACTATTGCCTATATAACTGCACGTTTTGTGCATGGCGTCCGGTGTTGACCCAGATTTCCAAAGTTTTTTTTTTGTGTGTTTTTTTTTTAGATTTCGGTTAGTCTTGTCAATGACCAGGGCGAAAAATAAGTGGCCGAAATCCGATGAGAAAGGCAGATTTGGGGGTACCCTACCTTGTAAGCCCCGTCATATATAGCCAGCCGCCGCCTTTGGGCACTACCAATCATTTTCGGAAAACGACACCCCTGGGTGGGAGGGTCCCTTTAATCTACAAATACCTATACTGATTTGATAATGTTATTCATATTGTTACTAAAATTGTCGTGGCTGGAACATGTGGATTTAGGAACACATTTGCAGTGCCATAATCAAGACACATTATTGTAAAGTTTGTAATTATTCATCTTATGGCTTACCACTAACCATTTACATGCTACAAAGTACAAGCAAACTCTGGTTGTGGTTAGAAATAATTGATTGAAAATGTGAAGGTGATATCTTCTATTGAGTATGCACAGTACTTGCTGCTTTTAGTCACGCTATTTCAGCAGTCTATGAATTGACTATTCCAATCTACAGGTTCTCCAGTTCAGCGCAGCAATCAGCATACTCAATAAATAAATAGAGGTTACTCCTTATCTAAGCTCCTCATAGAAATCCAATGCGTCCTGATAAAAAAGGCAATAGAAGACGTGATGAGAGGAGGAATGGACCCAAAACGGCACCGCCAAAGCCTGCAGGGTCTCAGAAGCCTTCAGGGCACGTCCAGAAGACCCCTGCGGTGGCACAGCCGACTCCCTCCGTAGCGCCGCAGACCCCGGCGGCTGCGCCGCTTCCGCCCACGGACAGTCAGGGTCCGCGCGTGCTGGAGCCGGCCGCGCCGCCGCCGTCGGACACCGCGCGCTACCGGCGCCGCGAGATCCACAGCAACTGGCACCGCTACGAGGAGGAGCCGGACGCGGAGACGACGACGCTGCCCGACGAGGATTTTCTGCGCGGCGACACCTTCGAGGAGCTGCTGGCCGCCTCCAGTGAGTGCAACTGGCGCGATAATGGTACCTGCAGTGTGGCAAGTGGTGGGCTTTTAATTGCCCTGCTTATTGTATGGTCACTGGGGTGTAGACGGTCCTGTCCTGTCGCCAGTGGATTGTTACCACTAAGCCAGTCCTATTTTGGGCTCATTTGTTTAACTTGTGGATAATCAGAATCCTGCTGTTTTACTTTTCTGAAGGTTGAATGCTGTAACTGAATGACCGATGCAGTTTTTGTATTATGCGTCCAGTGAAGTGTGAGGGGCGGCGCTAACCGTGGGGTGTGACAGTGACCCCACCGTGCACCTGTCGACAGCCGGGGACGCCGGCCACTTTCAGCTGCGCAGCGAGCGCTCGTGGCTGGAGTCGGGCGCTGGCGGCGGCGCCCGCAGCAGCCTGCTGACGCTGGAGGCGTACCGGCCGGCAGCGGCGCTCAGCTGCCTGCCTCTGCCACGGCGACTCGGAGTGGACGAGCGCCACTTCACGGTGAGGACCGCCGTGGTGCCGAGAGTCAAGAGTGACCTCGTAGGGTGGGCTGCTGTTTTTTTTTTAGTCAATGGAACTCATTTGTCGGTGATTGACAGGTGTGTGTCTGCATATTTATGATGTGTCAATTTTCCAGGATTTGAATATAGCAATACCTATTTAAATTTTGAATTTGATTACTGCTGCTTTATAATTATTCACAGTGCAATGCGTCTTTCTAAGCTATTTTTTTAGTCCAATAAGGCCGTCAGTCCTGACCTTTAGTACCATTAAATCTGTGGGAGATATCGCGCAGCTTGTCCACTGACCGATGTACGAAGTCCTCCGTCCGCTGACCTCTGCCTTACCTCCGCACGCAGGAGGAAGAACTCCACCAGTTCACCCTCGATGCCGACACGTGTCAGTCAAGTGCGGCTGCCTCGCGCCCCGCTGAGCGCGCCGCCACCCCTGCCGGGGAACTGAGGCCCGCCACCGAGCGGCCGACGGCGGCGGCGGAGCGGCCATCGACCGTCAACGGTAGGTTTTGTGTGCTGGCCGATCGGGCGGCTCCGGGGCCAAGGAACTAGGAAGGGATATACAGTGTTTGTGTTGGGCCCTTTATTTAAAGTGGCTGTGTGCTTCGATGGCTGGGACTCATAACGAGGTCCCACGTGGTTAATCACCACCAGTCAGCGTCAGTTTTTTTTAACGACATTTGAATCCCTTGTCTGGAACGTTTTGTCCTTGATGTTGAGTACAATGCACTTTGATGAAAAGCAAGCTATAAATGGACTTGAGCTGACGTGAATGCTGAACCCAAGTTACATTGGTTTGAAATAGTGTGTAATTACTCCTCCACCAAATGATCACACCGCGTCTCGCCTGCCTCACCCTAACCTTGTTTCAGGGGCGGTCACAGAGGTGGCGACACCTGCACAGGCGGCGCCGTCGTTGGCCGTGGCGCCCGCAGCAGAGCCGGCTGCGCCACCTGTGGAGGCGCCCGAGCCCCCGGCAGAGGCAACTCCACCTGCCGAGAAGACAGTGCCGCCCTCCAACCGGCCGGGTGGAGATGTTGCGCCGTTGCTGGCGACAGAGAGCGTCAAAGGACCGGCCCCGGCGCCGGCTCTGCTGCAGGACGACTGGTTAGATTCGGTGCTCTCGGACGAGGACTGAGACCGGGAGCCTACAGACACAGAAGCCGTGAACCTGCAGGGACTGAGGACCGAGAGGCCGTGAGTTCTCTCCGTCCTCAGTGATCGTCCTCTGTGGCCTTCTGAGGACGGCCCCTCCGTGAGAGGCCACCCAGTCGACTGAGGAGTCAAGGTCTGACAGTCCAGAGCACGGGTCCCGCTGAGACCACGCCATGTAAGCGAAGACTGCGGATCTGGTTGTGTCTAACCGCCGCTCTGTGGACGGCCTACCTACCTTCACTATCCGCCTCGACCTACCCGCCCACTAGAGTTGTAGCGACATATACCGTTCTCCTTCCTTATCTGCCTCTCGGATTCCCAGCTTCCTAAACGGACTGTGACTGTCCAGTCTTCAGTGTATCCCATGCAGTGTGACGTATTCGTTAATACCCATCAACGCTTCAGTGCGAGAACTAAGCACTAGCCGTACGCATACTGCGTGTATCCATGTGCGTGTGGATGTCGTGTGCTGTGTTTGCTGATGTGTGCGGATTAGGTGCGGTCCCCCGTCACTGCAGGGCGACTTTGAATCTCTGTTGGACGGGTTTGGTGCATGAAGGGAAACGTGATCGGACCGACGCACTTGAACTGGTTTGTTACGGACTGCTGTCGTTGTTATGTGACAATATATAACCGGCTGTGAGTACACATTAGCTGCACGGTCCTCATGGCTAGAACCAAACCAAGCCGAGCTGAACCAAACGCTGAATCTCGTAGCCCGCAATCTGTTCACCAGAAGTGGATAGGCGGTACGGGGAAAGGCACCAAACCAACGCCCTGGGCATTGGACATTGGACCACGAACGCCGATCAAAGCTGGAACGTTTTGTATTCAGGCACGTTGAGTGGCACGTGGGGCCGCCCGTTTCCCGGGCGCCGAGCGCTCATCACAGGGGCCGCCGACCCGGCCCGGGCACACACTGAAAGCCGCCGGTCTCTTCACCCGCCGCGCCCAATAGGGCCGGTACAGGACCCGTCGGTCCGCCACCAGTAACAACCATCAACAACGCGCCGCCCCCGGCTGCAGCTGCCCTCTGTCTCCCTCAGACCTCCACCGACCACACGTCCTCCGCCCCTCCCCAGCTGCGCACAGCCCCCCGCAGTACACTGCCGAGCTGCAGCCACCGGCGCCCGCAGCACTACTCACGGCGCAGCGCTGAGTATTCGACGCCAGGGCAGCGGCACAACTCTGAGGCACTAAGTATATAACATAATATTAACGAGCGGCTCTCAACGACGCGGCACAGCGATAAAGACATAAAAATTATCATTATACACGGTGTAAAACATAGACGACAACAGTATGTGGAAAATGCGGCGGCACTTTTGCGGAGCTATCCCCGCCGCCGGTCGGCGACCGTCCCTGGGCGGTGGGGCGCTCCGCCTGCGTCCCTTCACAGACACTCGCAGTCACAGTCACATGCACAGCCAGCGCCGCCAGCCGCGCCGCTTCTTGTGGCCGGGCGGCGGCGGCGGAGGGCGGCGCCGCGCCTCCAGCCCGCTGAGAATGCACTGGTCGAACACTTCCTTTATGTTCTTCTGCGTCAGCGCCGAGCACTCGATGTAGGTGTCGGCGCCAATGTTGTGTGCCAGCCGACGGGCGTCTGCCTCCGTGACCGGTACCTCCCGGTACTTGTCCAGCTCTATTAGCACCTGTGATGACACAGTCATAGTGTCAATGTGAGACACGGTCACAGCGTCACCTGGCGGGACACGGTCACGACGGCGACAGATGAATGTAACTCGGGGCTACACGAGGTCAGCGTTAGTGACTAGGTACGCCAAGACGGCTGGAAGGTCGCACATCGTCGACACTCATAGGGCATAGGTCACACGCGCCACTGAAGCGTCCACATGGAAGCCAGCGGCAATAAGGGGAGCAGATTACAGCCAGCAGAGCTCAGTACGAGTGTGAACATCGCCTGAGCCAACCAATAGCCCAAGGATGAACATTAACCAGTCCATGATTCCATGAAGCCAGATATCGACTTGGAGAAACAACACCCGCCAAAACCCGCAAACACCACACCTGCCCTTTTGACAAGTCTGCCACACCACAACTGCCTACCCCTGCCTTCAATCTCCTGCGGTTAGGGATGGGGACATCTGGCTGTACCTTGACGTTGGAGCGCAGATCGGACTGTGTTCCGACCAGCACGATGGCCGCCTGCGGGTGGTACTCGCGGATCTCGCGCACCCATTTCTGCGGCACGTTCTGGAATGAGCTCGGCGACACCACGCTGAAGCAGGCCACGAAGACGTCTGTGTCCGAGTACCAGACCCGCCGCAGCCAGTCAAAGTCCTCCTGGGGAGCGGAAACACGGTGAGGGAGGGTCACACCGGATAGCAGCAGAGCGCGGGGTCATGGGCGTGAACAGGAGCGTGTTTTACCGAAACTTGCTAGAATGCACCTAAGACTGACTATGACCCAGTTCTTAATTATATATCACCTCGCCATGACATGAATAATGTAACTTCAGAAGTACCTAGGCATCGCTAAGACTATGAGAAGATGCGTGGGAGCGGTAAGAGGCTACTCGGGGGGGGGGGGGGAGGGGGAGGAATTGACCACTTGCGCACCTCCCACGCTGGCGCCTAAGTAAGAGCATCCGAAATTCCCAGTTCCCAGCTCCCTGGTAACAGCTGCATGTGTGGGACGGCGCGGGAGTACCTACTAATCCCATGGCATGAGGGGGTACGATCTCCAATGTAGATAGAAACACGTGCCAGCGACAAAAGTCCCCCCCCCCCGCGCTGTCTCTGTCGGGCGGCAGACGGCGCCGGCCGGGCCGATGACACATCCTCCGGGTCAGTACGATCGATCGATGGGGCGACCCTCCCCGCGAGGCGACCGATGGACCCCGTCCGACCGCGCGCGATAACCCGTGCCTTGAGTCACCGGCCGGGCGGTCCGGTAGCTATCGGTGGCGGTGGCCAGATAGATGATATAGACCTACCGATATAGAGCTACTATCGGTGGCTGTGGCGAAACGGGCTACACTACACTGACCATGGCACGGCCGCGGTCTGACCAGTGGCTATCGTTCTCTCCGGTTATACCGTTAGACATCAGCATACAGGAAACTTTCCATTCGGTATATAAATCTTACTACAGCTGTATCGAAATTATCACGTTACGTCATAGAGCGCCTTTTAATGCCTCGATATCGTCGCGTTTGTTTCAGACCGGTGGAGAACTAACCTACCCAACAAGTGCTACGGTTTTACACCAATCTAGTTTAACCACCTAAACAAACCATTCCTATTTCACGACTGTCCAGTGTCCACCCACTACCAGTCCCGTAAAATGGTGCAGCCTTTACGCTTTACCATTCCATCGCCTTGTGAATGGTGCCCCAGGCAGTGTTGCGTGCTCGCTCACCTGACCGGCCGTATCACAGAGCTGTAGTTTGACGGGCCTTCCGTTCACCACCACATCCACTGCGGGCAGAGCGGGGCTTTGATCACACAGGGGCTCTATCACATAGTCTCCATCACATACAACAGTCACCGGTACACATAGGCAACCGCGGGCCACAGCAGCACGGGGCGATAACAATTTGGGGCGATACTAATGAGTATGGGCCATGGGGTCAAACCAATAGCGAGACCAGTAGGTAACCGTAATCAATTACACTTCACAGCTATCCTGAGTGCAAACACACACAGTGCCGACGTGACTGTATTGAATCATACAGCGATATATGTCGTGTCATTATTGCATATCGCTTACGTAAGTGAATCTAGTTTGTTGCCAGATTTATTTATCATTTTACATACAAACTGATAACACTTTAATGTAATATCTTAGCTGTACCAGGCCACATCAGGATTGACTTTGCTCGCGCCAATCTTATGGACGGCCTTTGCTCGAGCTGAAGCGTATTTGCTTTCGAGCCGCCTTGCGACTGCTTCAGCACATGGCCTGTAAAGCTGATAAAAAGTTCGCACTTTCCACCGAGCAGAGTGTAATCAATGACTCAAAGCTCACACTAGCAGTAAAAATATTACAGCAAGCAGAACAGGCACCAATACGCCACAATGTATGGGCTATCATAGGAACCTTAGTCTGGTCTGGAGAATTATCGGCGACCTATAGTCAGCAGATAGGATGATCGAACGTAGGTCGCGCGAGCACGAACATTCTGGGGAACCCCATATTGCCGGCCCATCAGCATTCCACCTGTATGGTAAACGCGATATGAATTTTGGGGATTTTTTTTTTCATGAAGCCGCTTTCCGCTGCACTGGTAGTTGTGTTGTGAATGTCCACACACACCTAAAGCGGGGGGGGGGGGGGCTCATTTCTCCCGTCTAAGTCGGCACCTGGGCCACGTAACGACCTGTGGTAAGCGTTGTTCGAAAGGTCGTCAAAATATTTTAACGACCAGTCACTTTAAAGGTTTAACCCTCGCCAGCCGAGGGCAGTTTTTTTTTTCGCGGTAGCTCCGAACACGCCGGGATAGAGAGCTGAAATTTGGCATGCCTGACCTTTGATTCAAGCCGGACCTTGTGACACCAACCGCATTTTCAGGTCAGGTCAGGTCAGGTCACTGACCTGTGACGTCATAAGTGAACCTCTGCAGTCATCAGATGTCACAACTTCGCAACGCCCTCAGTGCCAGAGGAACTTTCACAGGGAGATGAAACTTACAGGGCGTTCTCCTCCAGAGTTCTCACAACTTGTATAGGTATCTCAGAGTTTTCCTAAAGGTCACATGAGGTCAGGTCGGTCACAGGACCTCCCCATTATAAGTTAATGGGGAAAAATGAGAACTGCTATTTTGGCGCCGGGAACGATATCAAACTATCTCAAGCACACGGAATAGTGATTTTAATTCATTTCTTGCAATGTTCAATGCTTTGCTTTTGCATTGCTGACCTTGCGTGCGTCATTTATGACATCACTAGGCCTAGGATCATAAGAGTTTTTCGTCAATAACTCCCGATTAAATTGAGCTAGCGAGTCGAGAAAGCCACCGATGGAATCGGAAAGACCTGCCAAATAGAGTGATATGCGATATGGCCTGCTTCGACCAGCTACGTGACCTGGGGCTTTGATCTGACCTTGATCCGAGGTCAACACCTCAAGTTGACCCCACCCGAGCAAAAAAATATACCATTCGACGTGCCTGAGCGAGGCAAACACGATGGAGCCAACATCGCACAGTGATGCAAATGGGGTTCACGAGTGGCCATAAATACGAAAAAGGCCCAAAATTCAAGTTCACTTAATCGAATAAATCGTAATATGGTCAGTCAGGCAAATGTTTGGGGTGTCTGAAAAAGTATGATTTTAATGTTTTTGTCAAAACCGGCCTCGTGTAGGATTGTCAGAAGTCGAGACATTTTCGATGTCGTAAAAATGACTGTCAGGTACTTGAAATTCAAATGCCGCTAGCGTGCGTGCATGTCATACAAACTGCAAAAATTATACATGAAAATGATCCCCGAAACCTGCTGCTTCTAATGCCACGTCATAAAAAGCCGTATCTATTTTGGTTTGACGGTGAGCTAACTATTTGTAATCATGTTGCAACCGCAGTTTTTTTACCAAAAAAATTGCTTTCAATTCACCTACAGCACTTCACACAGTGTGTGCCCGTTAGTGCACCATATCATAGCATTCCCTAATCATTTCTGAGTCGCATCGTGAAAGAATTAAGGCGCTAGCACAGGGCTGACCGGCGCTACAGAAGTTTTCGTCCGGCACAGTCGGGTGCCGCGGCGCAGCGGGCGGCCCGGGCGGCCGCGCCGCCGCGCCGCCCGGACGCCGCGCGGCGGCACCCACTCGCCCACTGCGCGCCCACCGCGGCACCCGACCGCCCGGACAAAAACCTCTGTAGCGCCGGTCAGCCCTGTGCTAGCGCCTTAATTCTTTAACGATGCGACTCAGAAATGATTAGGGAAGGCTATGTTATGGTGGACTAACGGGCACACACTGTGTTAAGTGCTGTAGGTGAAACGAAAGCATTTTTTTCTTAGTAAAAAACTGCGATTGCAACATGATGATAAATAGTCAGATTACCGCCAAAGCGAATGAGATGCGGCTTTTTGTGACCCGGCATTAGAAGCAGAAGGCTTTGGGGATCATTCTCGTGCATAATTTTTTCAATTTGTACGAAATGAACGCAAACCAGCGGCGTTTGAACTTGCGAGTGTCTGACCGTCATTTTACGACCTAGAAAATGTCACAACTTCTGACGATTATACACGAGGCAGGTTTTGACAAAAACATGAAAACCATATGATTTCAGATGCCCCAAACATTTGTCTACTCGGCCATATCGCAATTAACTCAATTTGGTAAACTTGACTTTTGGGTATTTATGGCCACTCGTGAACCCCATTTGCATCACTGTGCATCGCGGCGCTGCAACCGTTTTTTGCGAAGTTATCAAAAACCGATCCCGTGCCTTGGGCCACTTGACCTGAACTCAGGTCGCTGGTACACCTGAGCACTGAGCAGGGCTGCGGAGTCGGAGTCGAAGTCGCCAAATTCTTACCGACGAGTCGACGAGTCCGGAGTTAACGCTGCATGGCTCAACGTCATGCACTGCACCTGTTTGATTGACGATACTGCGTTCGGAACAAGATTTTGTCAAAAAAAAGGCCATTTTGCTGTTTTGGACGAACGTTTTCAGAAAGAAGCAGAAGAGGGTGAATTCCCTCAGAACCTGCTTTTTAATCCTGCATGCTATTTTTAATGCATATTTAAAAGGCAAAGCCTTGGAACGCACAATGTGCACAATGTGCTTTCGCACCACTCTTCTATTATTTTTCTTTATCCTTGTTGCTCATGTTCGTTTTTCGATCGTTTTACTATGTTGTTGATGCTCAATAAACACTCTGGAATGGAATGGAATGGAATGGAACGCCCAAGGGATCGTTTCAAGCAAGATAAAAACACCTCCATTATGAACTTCAATATCACGATATGGATTTTAATAGAACCGTCCGGAGTCGGAGCCTAAGTTAAAGTCGGAGTCCATTTTTGAAGCCGGAGTCATAGTCGGAGTCACCCTAAAATCCATCGACTACGCAGCCCTGGACCTGAAACCTTAAAATCGGGTACCAGTCTCTGCGTCTCGTAACGGCGCACACGCTCGTTTTCCCGCAATGCTCTAGCTCCATTAGGGGCGAAACGGCGAGGAGCGTCGTAACACACACCTCCACCCCCCCCCCCCCCCCCACGGTCGGCGCGTATGTAGAAAACCAATAGGTCCGGCGAGGATTAAAGATCAGGCCAGCTGACGTCATTAAAGATCAATTTGTTTCCGATTTTAACGATTCCGGGAAAGCCGGAGCCCAACTATCATGAGAGCAACATCGTCGCGGAAAAGATATTTGAGGCCTCTTTCGCTGAAATGTCGTCATATTTATCCAGGATGAATGGCTTCACTTTGTCGTGCGTTCGCCTCATCACCCCTCTCTTACTTCTCATTGGCGAATTCCATATAAATATAAACAGCCCATAGCGTATTTAGTATTTACATCGCCCTCCCGGCTCCCAGCGCATGCTCCAGCATCTTATTCGCCACACATAACTGACATTCCTACTGGCTATGCTTGAATAAGGTACATAACCAATGGAATCAACCCACCCTGCCCATCCCGAACAAACATGCAATGATAAATGGGTCATGGTTCAATGAATCACAACTCAAGCACGCCGAACATGATAAGAACTCATTCACAGTAGCACACGAAGATTCGACCTTTCAATAGGCACAGAACAGTCTAGCTCACAAACTTGTACTGTTGGAAAATAAAGATCTGTGGCATCTCACGCACAAGCACACATTATAGCTAAGTAGTATTCCTGGAGAATGTCCCCTTTCCCAGTAATAGCAAAGTAACGATGCGACATCCTTGACTCCTCTAAGGGCACGTGGGGGCCAGACGATGGATACCTATGTCAGTTGGGGGGCCTCCACTCCACACATACGCACCTAAACTTTCGGCCCTCAGCGATGGGAGCACAGCATCCGCACTGCTCAGTGTAATAGACGTACAGCCCACCGCTAAAGTAATGTAGGGTTTTACCAATCTCAACGGTTGACTTTGACTGGCGATTGTTTAATGCGGAGTGATCGAAAAGAAGATGTCAATAGCTTAAGTTGCAGCTGCAAGGGTGACGATACATATAATATAAGCTACATTCAAAGTTTCATTGTAGTCTGGCTAATCGTTCCTAAGCTTCAGAAGCAGAACATACCCATGACTGAAACCCCAAATTACTTCTGCTGTGGACTGTACCTACGTCACATGTGGTGGGGTGGCAGTCGCTTCGGTAAGTACGGGGTACTAGTCGTCATTGGCGCACAAAAAGGAAGGATGGTAGGTAGTCGCTCGGAAACTAGTCGTGGTAAGGGCTGGTAGTCGCTTGGGTACTCACCGTTGTAGTCGTCAAGCGTCGTCGGCTGGTAGTCGCTCAGGTCCTCAGTACTTCTCATCGTTATAGCCGTCATAGTTCGTTGGCTGGTAGTCGCTCGGGTACGTAGACGCTCGGGTGCTCAGTCCTCACCATTATAGTCGTCATACTTCATAGGCCATTGGCTGGTAGTTGCTCGGGTATTAAGTACTCACCGTTGTAGTCGCCTTACGTCGTTGGAGGGCTGTCGCTAGGGTACTCACCATTGTAGTCGCCATAGGTGGTAGGCTGGTAGTCGCTCGGGTACTCACCGTTGTAGTCGTCATAGGTCGTTGGCTGGTAATTGCTCGGGTACTAGTCGTGATAATGGCCTGTAGTCGCTCGGGTACTCACCGTTGTGGTAGTCGTACGTCGTTGGCTGGTAGTCGCTCGGGAACTAGTCATGGACAGTGGACTGGTAGTCGCTCGGGTACTCACCGTTGTAGTCGTCATAGGTCGTTGGCTGGTAGTCGCTCGGGTAGCCGTTGGTGGCGTAGCTGACCACCATGGACGTTTTTCCCACGGCGCCGTCTCCGACCAGCACGCATTTGACGCGCTCCGGCGGCGGCGGCGGCTTGCCGGCCATGACCGGGCTGCACGGCGGACTGGCGCCCGTCTGAATCAGCATGCCTCTTCAGGTGCCGGGAGCGGCGCCGGCGCGGGTCGCACACGACAGACCACCTGGCCACGCGCAGCGGACCGGACGTCAGACGGCGACCTCACACTTACGGTCGATCAAGAACCAATATTAGAATAGTCATCTACCAAACGAATTGAGGGAATTATGTGTTGCAATCAGCCCGATCAGGTAACAAAAATGCTAGGAGTAAAGGAAAGATTGTATAAAATGGCAATCGATTGTACAGGTACACTGAATAGAATAATGATTGATTGCTGATAGGATTTGCATATTTTAGTGAGTCTTTTGGTTAAAAAAATGTGAAAACTTATCCAGCAATTAGAGGATGGGGTTGAAAAAATCCTGCTAGCATTAATATATACATAGATACATACATTCAAGACATTTCCAAGTAGCATACCATTAAGTGTTTAAGCTTGAAAAAGCTGATTAGCATTTGGCACTTTGAACACCAATCATGAATAATTCATAAGTCTATGGGTACAGGCCTCATTGGCTAAAGTTTACAGGGTTAGATGCCCTAGTGTGAGCTCAGGTGTTTCCTGATTGCTTGGCTATGAATTATTGCCAGTGGATCAATAAACAGAAAACTTTCAGTAGGTACATCCAAAGATGTTACCTACAACAGAATTGTGCCTTGACACATCAGTAGGTATTGTTGAGGAGGGGAGTAACTTTAGATACCTAGGGCTGATAGTTAGGTACATGACTTTAGGCTTAATATGACATGATGCACTGAGACACAACAAACAGCATGGAATCAGTGGTATCAGAATAGCATGACAGCACACCCTTATTCCTAGGAACCTTATTCTAATTGACATTTGCAAGAGGCCAGTTTGAATTTTACTCGCATTAAATGCCACAACGGGCCAGTTTAGCCTAGGTACATTAATAAAATGAGGGAAAGTTAACTAATACAAAATCAAATTTTTGTAGCTTTTTCTTTTTCTCAAAGCTGCCCCATAATTTTACCTGCCACACTTAAAATAAAAGCCAGTAGCCGTTAATTTTATGTGGGTATAACTTAAGTGGCCTCGGGCCTTGTTAACAACTGGATTCAGTCACCTGGCTGGCCAGTGGCCAGCGGGCGACGATATGATAGCTACCATATTTATAAATATTAGCACGGTGGTACATGGACATACAGACGGAAAATGGCACTAGTGGAGAAATTAATAGATATTATGTTTTTTTTTTTAACTAGCATTGATATATAACAAGTTCTGGGTAGAATTACAGAAAGTGCAAGCGCCATCATACGCTGGCAGCTAATCCAGTCAATACCACACCACGGCCTGTGGCCTCAGGTTCTGAACGTGAATAGAAGAATGGTCAATTGTATTCTGAGTTCAAGTTACCTACCTAGTCCTACCAGTTGGTAGTTTGAGTTACCACTTTGACTTGCCTGGCGCAAGTCAGTATATTTTCCAATGCGCTGCCACAATCGTTAATGAAAAAAGAGATAATGGAAGGGCAAATAATTCAGAATTGCATGATATAACACGGACACTTCTAAGTAAGCAACAAACTGTGCACAAAAAAGCAAGCAAAAAACAACTTGTGAACCCTTTCCGCGCCGTTTCTGTCACTAAAAGTTCATAGGCGGCCTTGACCAAGGATTGACTAATGACTGTACCAATATTTGAGTGATAGTGCTTTATTATTGACGTCATGTGTGCAATAAAAAGTGTACCTATTTTTTATCCTCCCATTTCTTACATGAGAAATTGTGGAAACAGGAGAAATTTAACATTCCATCAACTAAGCATGGTTCAACAAAAACAAAAAAATATCCAGAGAACATTTGATATTGTCATTCTTCCTTTTCATTTATGAGCTAATTACGTCATCATCGAGAAATCATATGATGTTGATACTTATTCCTGTGATATCCTTGATTTGATTTATACACAGCACACACAGTGAATCTCATTCCTAAACATTTTATCGTTGATGACCTCTGGTGACCTCAATATTGACCTGACCCGAAAATGTTTTTGTAAAAGTTGTAGATCTTTAAGCGACCTATCAAACGCCGTTTGCCGTTTGTCGCTCCGATGTGTGGTTTTATACCTATATTTCCCTTAGTTTCATTCGTGTTGGCGGACCGTAAGCGCAATAACCAATTTCTACCTAGTACCTATTTGTATTGGTTGTATGAGTTTTTAAATAAATTAAAGTTTATTTTTATATACAGTATTTACTTACCTACAGTATTTTACCATGGTTTTTAGTTAAATAATTCAGTTTTGACAATTCACGAGAAAAGCATTTTGATTTAAATAATATTCTTATCCTAAACTTTTCATGTTAGGCAGATCCTCAGAGGAGGTATCAGATATCAGATGCTGTTGGGGGTGTGACGTACGGAGAATGTAGCGCTACGTTCTCCCCAAGAAAGGGTGGAAGACAAAAGCAAGTGTCCGAAGGCAGCTTCATAGCCCATAGGGCCTACCTACTCTGTCTTAGCATTTGCCTCTGTTGATCAAAATGAAGGTAGATTTCAAGTTCACATTTCTGAATAAATTGATGAATTAATCTGAATCAAGATCAATAATATTTGAAGCATTGTTCTGGTGGTATGAGTACACATGTTTTAATTATCCACCCAAAACGCTAGAAATTTCTGAAAATTTCTTAGATCATCATCAGTCAGTGCGAGTGGTGTGTGTGTGTGTGTGTGTGTGTGTCTTCAATATTGTTGAAATGTGTGTAATTGAATTGTCAAATTTTTGTATTGTTGGATGTTGCAGCTGACACTCATGCTTTTTCCAGGCTTCAAAACAATTCAAAATCTTGATCAATAGCTTTGGTTATACTTTCAGCCCCACATTGGAAGGATAAACCTTTCAGCTTACTGATACTGTCACAAATCTTCAGGTACCTTCAGCTATGTCATTTGTAAGTTGAATGGACTGCATCAAATTCTCAATAAGAAAAGTTGGTGACTTGTCTTGCATGCTGAAATGAATTGATTACACCTGCATGACTCTTGAATTTTGAAACAAGATTGCTGATTTTACTGATTTTACTGATAATCAGTTACTAATGAAAGCTATCCATGATTGTAGCTAACCTCTTGGACCCTTTTCCCATTCACTAATCAATCAGTAATTGACATCTGTGTGTGAACATTGTAGATCTTAAATGTCATGCTGATGCCAAAAAAGCAAAAGCCATACTATTTTGTGATGTATCTGACAATAAAGCCAGATGTGGTTTCTTACTTTATTTAGATAGGTATATCATTAGGCCTTTGTAATGGCACTGTGCTTGTGTACTCTCATCTGTGTATGTTTGTGTACTCTCGATATTCTGCCTGGTGGATTTCAGAAGGCAGCTGCCTGTGCTCTGTACGAGCTGCGCACATACAGTCTCCGTCTGGATAGGATGGCGGCGTTTCTGCGCGAAACGGAGCGTCTGTTTCACCTGCGCACGCAGCAGTCGCCCGTGCTGGGGTACTGGACGTCGGAGCTGGGCGGCCTTCATCAGGTGGTCCACCTGTGGCCCTACGGTGAGCCGGCTCGTGATTCCGTAATACAAACGGTTTAATGGGCGCTCTTTTCGATTACGTGTCTCGCGTTTCAGCCTATTTCGTGTTAGTGGACACTGGACATATTATATTGGTTCGTCATACCTACGTGCGATTTGTCGCTTTTGCTTTATAAATGTGTCGTTTGTGCTTGAGCTATTTGCTCGTTTCTTTATTTATCACAAGATAGCTACACATTCCGTTCACGGGCGCACCTCCTGTGTTTCTCAGAGAGTCTGTCCCACCGCGCCTCGGTGCGCGCCGCGCTGGCCTCTGACACGACGTGGCTGCAGGAGTACGTGGGCCCGGTGCTGAACCCGGCCGTCCTCGGCCAGGACAACCTCCTGATGCGGCCGCTAGAGACCACCTCCGTCACTGCTCCCACCGGACCAGGTGCGAACACTGCTGGGTAATCTTTTACCTTGCCGTACCTGGATCAGTGCGTAATTTCTACTTAGTGACGACGGTTGTTGAGAAAAACAAACCATGGCCCATGACGAAGCTCGATGTAGGGTAGCGTTGACACGACAGTCTGAGAGTACACTATAAGCATAAAGTTTGCTACTTGTTCAAAAGTTCGATGAAAACACATTCTCGATGGCAAACCGTTTTTTTATTGTCGTTTACGACGCAGTTCATCTTTATTCGAATTTTACGAGTCAATGCGTTTGTCGGAAGCTCGCTATTAATTTTTACCGGTAGCGATCTTGACTTTCCGATCGTAAAACACTAACACGAACGAACTCTTCAGACGCTTTATTCCGATCAATTGCATTAACGCGGCATCGGCGGCTCATCGATGTCACAACCAAGCTTCTTACAGATAACCATTGACCATATCCGCGGTGCGGGTCGCCCCGCTGTGTGGCCGCTGTCCCCCCCCCCCCCCCCCCTCTGATACGGGTCCGCCCCCTGCAGGTGTGACTGAGCTACTACAGCTCTCTCTGACCGGTTCCGAGTCGGACTGGTCGCCCCCCCCCCCCCTGACACGGTCCGGCCCCTGCAGGTGTGACTGAGCTACTACAGCTCTCTCTGACCGGCCCCGCGGTCGAACTGGTCGCCCCTTCACCCCTCTGACACCGTCCGGCCCCTGCAGGTGTGACTGAGCTACTACAGCTCTCTCTGACCGGCCCCGAGTCGGAATGGTCGCCGCCTCTGCTGCGGGTGGCCGCCGAGGTCGGAGAGGCCACACCCGACCATACACTGGTCGGCTGTTTCCGCTCGGTGATCGGCCCGGCCAACAGCGCCGTGCTGCTGACGCACTACCCGAGCCAGGAGGCGCTGCTGAAGGCCGCCGAGGACCGCCGACTCAATACCGCCTGTGAGTGCTGGAACTCGATGGACTGATGCGCCACGCAGAACTGGCCAGCTTAGCGTAATTACCTGTTTGTGGTCTGTTCGTCATTGTTTCCTGAACATTAATAATAGTAATGCGAGTTAATGGTTCCTTGCACTTAATCAGACGTGCTCACCCTATTTACTCCACCTGATGCATAACGTAGTTTAGCAACATTAACTATTTATAGAATGTGTCGGATACTGGGGATAGTGATACCCATTTCCTTTAGCTTTGCTTGTCTAAACTGATGCTCCTATTGGTCCGTATCGGTAGCAGTTTTTTGTGACTCGAGGTCTTCTTCACAGATGTGGACCTCCTGCGGCACGTGCGGACCGCTCACAGCAAGCTGCTGCTGCCACACAAGGTGTCATTGATTCAGTAGTGCCGCCTGGCATTGTCAGTCACTCGCCAGGGGTCGCTTTACCTACCGCCAAGGAGCGGGGCTGGGGGACCGGAGCTGTTTACTAGGGACTGAAGCCGCGCACGCGAATGACAGCGCTCACCTGGGGATCCATTGTTGTTTATCGGTGGGTCGCGGCCATGTAGGTCACAAAGATAATGCGATACGGAATGTGATATTTTAATCATGACTATTTTGTACGCCCACGCAGGTTTTGGGTCGCTGTAGCTGTTAGACGGGAGGATACGTTTCGAGCATGTGCATTTCTTTTTAAAAGGGGGCTAGAGGGCGGTGTGAAGACGGGACTGTGATGTTTGGTTACTGTCGGGGGCGTGGAAACGCTATTTTTTATATGAGCGGGTTTATAATCTCGACACTGTTTTATTAGAGCATCTCATGGCGTGGTAACGCATTGTCCTAGTGTTCGCACCAATGCGAAACTGTAAATGCTGTTTGACAACAATTTTTGATACCATTCCATGACATGATGCGTGTGATATTTTCTAACTATTCCACCGTAATGTGCATTTCGTTTGCTGCATCTAACTATTACAGAATACGCGGTATGTCTTGTCCAAATGTGCAATATCGGCGCACCTTACTGGGTGAAGTCTTCGTGCGAGGTCTTTCACGGAGTGCCAACTAGTTGGTGGGCTGCTGCTTTGAGCGCATGCCTTTCCTGGCAAATATACATGGGCTCAAGAAAAAACTCTATAGTGGTGTTACATCAGCTAAGCAACGCAATAAATAGTGTCGCGCCGCGAGTGGAATGCGACACATTCAAGAAGCAGCTCTTTCTACTAGATATCTGACGTGTGAGCTTCATTATCTCTATCTTTTCTCTTCAGTATTTGATCTGGCCGTCTTTGCTGAATGCCTTGCGGACCCTGAAAGCCAGCGCTTCATCCGCTGGACTTGCGTCTGGGTAATCAGCAGCCATCTAGTTTCCTATCACGCGCTTTTCAACATGGTTACCATACCCTTGCCATAAATTTCGTCTTCTTTACACTACCAGCTACCACCATTTCCCATTCCCTTGAAGCACGGTCGGTTTGCTCCTTCCAAACGCTGACAGTCTTTCTACGAAGAATGCCAGGCACGCCAGCGCCATGCCGCCCATCCAGCAGAAGAACGGGCCGCGCAGCACGGACAGGTTCATCTTGGGGGCGGCGGAGACGGCGGCTCCGGTCGCCGGGCCGCCGCACCGGGACGGGACGTTACGGCGGTACAGGTACTGGACGATGCCGAACTGCTTCAGCCACCGGATCGAGTCGTCCAGCAGCGGCGTGTACATGCTGTTCTTCTGCAACATCATGGCGTAAAAGTCGCGTCGCAGGTTCTCGCGGGCCAAGTGGAACGGGCAGCGTTCGCTGGTCTCGCCAGTTTCCTCCATCAAGCGGTGGGCGCGATTAATCAGCGAACGAGGACTTTGAAACAGGACGGCCTCCCCGCTGGCGATTCGTTTCAGGAAGGATGTGGTGTATGTGGACGTGGATGAGCGGTGGATGCAATCGGGACAGGCGGTCATTTTGGCCCAGATGCGTCCGCGCGCTCCGGTGGTCTGGTTCTGGAACATGTGGAACTGGCTGTGGCCGCGCACCACGTGCGGCTGCACGTCCGAGTCGGCCAGCTGCTCGAGCGAGTCGAGCGGCGGCTGCCAGCGCGGCAGCGACAGGAAGGCGGTCAGGTTGCCGGCGTACACGGCCGCCAGCGTCACCGTCACCACATACAGGAAGAAGACGACCGTGCGGCCGGCGGCGCCGGCGCCGCGCGCCGACACGCCCTGGCCGGAGAGCAGCGCCACCGACTCGAGCAGCAGCGGCGAACAGCGCTGCCGGCGGCTGGGCAGCCGACAGCGGCGCTCGGCGGCGGCCGTCAGCCAGCGCAGCGCAGCCGCCGCCGGCGCCAGCGCCAGCACCAGCGCCCACACCGCCGGGCGGTACACCTCGAACAGCAGGAACGCCGAGCTGGCCGGTCGGAGCGACGCAGACGCGAACGTGGTGGTACCGGTCCAATGCCACTCGGCCATGTCCACGGCGCGCACGCGCTCGTACATGACGGTGCAGCTGCCCACCCCGATGTCGGCCTCGCCACGCTGCAATGCCGCCAGCCGACCGTAGGCCGAGCCGTTGGCGAGGGTCATGCCACAGCCGCCAATAATCTTCGCCTCTATCCGGAATCGCAGGTGTGCCGCGAGCAGCGCGAACGTCTCTCCGAGGTAGCCGCAGAAGTGGGCGCCGCCGTCGGGCAGCGGCCGGTAGCCGAACAGGTCATGAGTGCACGGCTCGGAAGGAGCTCCGGCGGCGGTGAGCGCCACTCGCAGCGGCCGCCCTCCGAGGTGCCGCAGCCGCCAGTCGGGCGGCGGCGCCGACAGTGTCACCCGGCCGTCGGTGACGTCGCCCACCGCCGACAGACGCACCGAGCCGTCGCCCGGAGAGGAGGAGGCCAGCAGCGCGCACGGCGAGCCGGCCGCCGACGGGCACAGCGCCACGGTGACGCGCTGCGACTCGTGCAGCGCGCCGGCCAGCGGCGCCGCCACCTCGGACACGTTACCGAGCACGGCCACGAACCAGGCGGTCCGGTGGACGGGCCCCGGCGGCCGCACGCGCCGGTACGCCGCCGCCACGTCCCGGGCCGTACCGAGCACGGCCAGCGTGCCGCCGCCGTGCTCGGAGGACGCCGTCTCGTGCGCCGTGGCCACGCCGGCGGCCCAGAGGCGGCGCGTCAGGCAGCCGGCCGCCTCCCGACCGCTGTCGGTGCCGACGATGGTGACCTCGGACGGCGGGGTCGGCGTCAGGAGGGCGGCCAGCGCGTCCGACAGCGGCTCCGAGCGGCACCTGCCTGCGGAGCGCAGAGAGCGCCGTATTAGTCGTATACAGCACCGGGACCAGGAGTACACTATAGCTTAGCGTCAGTTCCTACTGTCACCGTGACTGTGACATCAGTATTCAACACGGACACTGACGTCAGTACACGGAGTAGGACACTGACACTAACACTGACATCGGCACGGACATTTACCCGCGCCCTGGTGGAGGGGGGGGGGGGGCTATTTTTGCCCATCCCCCTCCAGACTTTTCGATATATCTCCAGAACCGCTGCGCGGATCGTCACCAAACTTTCAGTACCATCCCGGGCATCAATTTTACACATTCTGACTTAATATTTTTCCAAAGGCTATGACAGGTTGGTCACAAATGACGTCAGAGTGATGTCATGTTCCGCCGTTTTCGACAAAAAAAAAAGGTTTCGCGGGAAGCGCTGCTTGGCCCATAGATAGATACAGAAAAACGTTTAAGACATAAAAGGTGTAGACTTACCAGTGCTACTAAACTGCTATCTCGAAGTTTTGAAATTTTCGAATTTTGACCCCTCAAAAATATACATATATTTTTTAACCCGCGCCGGGCCGGTGCTCCGAGATTCCGCGCTGGGCCGGGGGGGGTTGTCTGAACACCCCCCTTCTAACTCGGCTCCTGGGCCACGTAGCGATACGCAGTAAGCGGCAATCGAAAGAACGTCCAAAATAAGGACGAAAACACTTCGGCCATTTTTTGGGTCAGGTCAAAGGTCAGGTCACCACCAGAGGTCACCAAAGGTAAAATGTTTACTATTTCAACATTTTGGAAACTGCCGACGCTATCTCGGGTAGGGGAGAGCGGGGAGAGTTGTATCATGTCCAAGTTGTATCAGGGCTAATTGTGCCAAACTTATCCAATGGATGGCGCTCGTGACACGACCAGCCGACGAGGTTTTCCGGGCGCCATCTTTCCCTGTTCTGTCGTGTGGCTGGGTGGACGCGTCTCGAGGTGAGAGCCGATTTTATGTTTTTTTTTTTAATGCCATTCTAAAAAAATAAGTTGCAAGAAAATGTGTGTTTTGGGCATTTAGATGTGCACGAATTTGAAAGATCTCCGTAGCGGTGGTGAGGGTAGGTTCTAAGGCTGCGTGAGTGAAAATGGATTTCTCCAGCTGTCCGCTGTTTTTGAGCACGAGGATGTTTTTTCCAAGATGGCGGCGAGGTACATGTTGTATCAGAGCCGGGTGGGGTATGTTGTAACATGTATGTATGTATGTATGTATGGGTATGTTGCTTTTGATCGCGAAAGCTAAGCCCTGGCTCGCGTTTGTAGGTAGCTAGTCAATACTCGTTCCATTTCGGCACAATGTGTTGGCTTCTTTGCTCTTAACGGGCCACTTTTGCGTCTAGTCTGTTGATGTTTCGTTCGTTTCGATGTTTCGTTCGGATTGACCTAAGTTTGGTCTAATAAAAGTGAAGCCTTTGAGCATATACATTGTATTAACCCCATTTAATGTTGTTGTTATGTTCAAAACCAGTAGCAAGCACACTCCCTGAAACGTGAAATAGTGATACAAATTACTCCACCATGTGATACAACTCACCCAAGCCATGGGGCAAGTTGTATCAAAAACATTGTTCTATTCGGCAGACCGTAGAAGAAAAACTGGTAGGGGTAGCGGAAAAGTTACTTTGCACACAAAAAAGCAGAAGAATCAAGGAAGGAGATAGTATGGAAATAATGAGCTTATCACGGATAGTTACGAGGTTATGGGTCTCGGAGTAAAAACTGATACAACCCACCCCACTCTCCCCTACCGATAGAGCTACAGCGCTGCGGAAAAGCGCATTCGATAGCCCTTTTACAGACCTTTCTGAATAATGTTCTCAGATTTGACCTCAGGTCAACGGTTTAGCCTCCAGAGGGCAAAAACTCCAAAAATAGCCGTTTTTACGAAAAGTTTTTTTTTCGGCAATAACTTTTGACTCAAAAGAGCCATGACATTACTTTTGCCAGCATCGTGTTCCTCTCGTCGAGGCGCGTCGAATGAACTATAATTTGACCTTGAAAGGTCAACTTGAAAATTTGACCTCAGGTCAAGGTCATGACCTGACTGGAAAAGGTCATGTTGCATATCAGTCGATCCGCAACGTCGAGCCGAACACATCTAAGGCATTTTCAGCGCTCTAGCACGCACGCTCGCTCTATAGCACGCTCTATCAGAAGTTATTAGCGAAAAAACTGTTCGATTCTGTCCGTGATCTGAGATAACCTCGGGGACATAACGAGGGGTCACAGTTGCCATTTTCCAGTTCAGTGTGTCAATTTTATCTACATCTCGATGTTTGAGAGTGTCTAGAATAGCGTTCGTGCAAAACAGACGTTTTTTTCAATTTTCTCCAATTGACTTACCTATATAAATGGATAGGCCGCAAAATTGACCTGA